CCCGCTTTCACTGTCGGCGAGGCGAAAGGCCGAACACACCAAGTGTGTTTTTGCTAAATGATCACGTGTCATAACATGACGTCACTACAAAACAAACGAATTGATTGGTTGATAATTTTAGAAAGATGGTCTGATGTGACATTGTTATGGAAACGTAAGGGGAAAGAGCAAAAAGTTCAAACCAGAAGTGGCTCGCATCCAAGTGGATGTCAATCAAAACAATACTTTTATCCGCTATATTCTGTGAAATTTACTTTCACTGAAAAACTTCCTGCCAGCAATCTCCAGCAATCAACTTTGCGTAAGGCTTTTATCTGTCTCTAGTCTGGTCGAAGTAGATCTCCGCTGTCAGTTTGTTTGTCGTGTTACGTAAGTACACGTGTAAAGTACATTTCAGATGGTTAAATCACGCGATAAGGAAACTGAAAGATCCGCACATGTAGTCACTCTGCTTGGATCACTGTTGTTCCTTCATAAATTAGCTTGATCAATTGAAAACTGAAAAAGAGATAACAAAGGGAGAAGTGACGCAAAGCGAAAAAACGGAAATTCCTTTGTAATATTTGGTTGATTTTGTCATATTTCACTTTTACATAATTATCTTTCTCGGAATTATGACCACAAGACTTCTTTCTCACAATGGACAACTTCAAGCTCAGTCTGGGAAAATTAAACAGAAAATTCAAACTTGCTTTTGAGGCATTGTTGTGGTTGTTGATAAAGTTTGGCGGAAATATTTAAATATATTCCTCACGATTGAACTTGGCATCGTGTGTGGTCAGTAACAAAGCAGGCTTGTATCGATAGCATCATGCAAATTTTTGAATCGTGTTCGACCAAACGGAAAGAGCTCTTCCCGCCCTCTGGGTTTTGCGCTTTAAGCTTTGCGGTCAGATTTTTATTTGCATATGGGATTGGGTTACTGTGTAAACTTTCCGTGCGTGCTAAGCCTAAACTCATCCAGTCAAGTGTGACCTAAACAGCCCTTCGAAATATTTTATCTTTTTAAACTATTTGTATTTAAGCTTAGGAACACTTCTCAAATCTTATACAAACTCACGGAAAATAGCTTGGCTTACAACTCTTGACGTGTGTTTTCGTTCTTGCCGCTTCCATATAGAAATCTCTGAATTGAAATAATCAACTTGCCGAAAACAAAAAAAATAAGGGGGAGGAGAATGCAAAGTAAACTAGGGTGCACTAAAATAGCTTAGAACTCCTTTCCGGAAGCCTCTTTGTTTATATTATATTCCTGTAGGGGAGGGACAGGCTAATATAAGTTGCCGTCCACACCCGTGTGAACCGCTTACTACCGAGAAGGACTGGGAGTCAATTGTATTAAACCGTTTATGTTTTAAAGTTTTGAGATGTACTTTCAGTTATTATAGAATTGCTTTATTCTCAGCTAAATGCCCTCCAAAAGAAGCAAGTCCAAAATATCTTTCAAATTATTTTCAGCAAATAATTATTCGCGGTTTGCGAGCAGATTCCCATTCTTGAAACAACGACAGATCAAGACAAAACTTTTTCAGTCATGGAGGAAGTTTAAGTTCAGTCCCGAAACCACGACGAACAAAGGAGGGATCCAGAAACTAAAATGTGTGAATGAAATTGTCGCTAATGGAGGTGAGGTTGTTTAAGTTTTTGTCTTTCAATGAGGTAAAATAACGAGGAAGCTAGATGTAAAATTAACGAAGTTTTGAATGCCCTCGTTCTAAATTTGTTCACGATTATCATATTAATTAGACAGTCCATTGGGAGAAGCCAAACGTTACTTGTTTTTTAACTAATGACAGCTTAAAAACCTGGAAGAATGGAAAGTCTTTCCGGTTTACAATTTGTGAAGCAAGTTTTACAGTCCGTTGAGAGCAAAAAAAGATAGAAACAAAAACTTGATGGTTTGATTTCCTTCACAGATCATGGTGAATTATTCTAGGGCAAAAACAGAATAGTAAATTGTCCTCTCAGATTTTAAAACACTATTCAACAATGGAGAAATATTTTGTCTCTATATTGCATAAATAAGGCTGAAACCTGTGAAGGTTACGGTTAGCTACAATTTGAGACACGTGAAAAAGTTTTTCAGCTGCCATTAGAAAAATATTACTAACTTTTGGTACGAACAAAAACAGCAGCATTAGTCCTCTCCAAACCAATTGAAAGACTGCTGACTGCTGAGGGATAAATGCATGTTTTATGTTATAAATGTCACGTTGGGAATTAAAGAACTGTTGATTTTAAGCCGAGAGTGGCCCGCCAAAGAAAGGAGAGGAAGATGTCGCGGAGAAGAAACCTGAGCGTTCACCCATTAATAAATATTCAGTCAAACAGCGTAATCTTCAAGATGACCGTGCTAAAAGGAAAAGTATCGGAACAGCAAATGAAGAGGATGACATATCCCCACTGCGCAGAGCTTCTAGGAGTTTGAAAATGACTGACAACACACTACTCACAAAACGAAAACAAAACGAGTTCATCGATCTATTTGAGGAGATAAACGCAGAAACGTTGTTGATCGAACCAGTTGATATCAGCAATATTGAGCTCTTATCGAGTGCAAGTGGCAGTTTTGATCGCAAAGAGTGGCTAAAGAAGCTTACAGAAGAAGGGACATTTGAAAAGGTACGCTGGGAGAGGGAAGTTACTGCCTCGTGACACGAGGCTTTGAAGGAATCGTTGCGTGACAGCTTAAATGTCGGCGGGAAAGCGCTGCGCCAATCCTTTTCATTACTGTTTCTGTTCTCTTCAGAAGTCCTCTTTTAATTAATATCATCTGATGCAGCCACCCCCCTCCCTAAAAATAAGCAAACATTCGGGAGCAACCTTTTCCTACTAGACACTGACAGTGACTATTCCCTTCGAGGATGAGAACACAACCAAGAGCACGAAAGATCGAGGATATTTTACTATCACCAGTATTTCACGTCCAAAACCTAGTTGATGTTTAAAAGCACTGCCTCTCCGTTGGGGAAGGGAGAGAGGGGGGAATCTTTTTTTTCCAATATGGTAAATCAATCCAGTTTGCTGTTGGGTAATTATTCTGCCAATGTCATTTCCTAGGGTAATGTTTTACCATAGGAGGCCATTTCAAACGTCACGTTTTTCGATTCGAGTTATCTAAGTCAAGTTACCTCATTTTTAGAGCAACAATACGGTTTCTGGAATGTTCAAATGGCGAGCCGACGGGAAAAAGAAGAAAAATGTAAGAAATGGGGAAAAAAATAAACATGAATCAAGGTAAGATCACTTTCCCGACTGCAAGTAGTAAATTTCTAACCGTAATTTGTCGTGCACGAGATGCCAGCTCTACGGAAGCGTGTGTATTTCATGCGTGCTGCACCGCTGGCCGAGAATGTAGCGGGAGCGAAAGACAAAGATTAAGCACGGTAGTACTTCATGTCAGATTACTTGTTTCGTCACGATTTTTGACACATCATTTCATCGACAATCAGGAGTACATCAAGTTATACCTGTTAAAAGATTAAAGCTTAAAGTTACAAATATTTGTGTGTAAAGGATTTAGATGGCTTGCGTTCGAATCCTAATGTTGATTTTCTTTCAGGTTTTTAGAGAGTAGCAAATGTGAAGGCGGCAGGAACTTCTTCAGCATGTTTGAACGCGAGGACGATATCTTTCTTTGAGCATGAAATTTATCCTGACTCAAAAGCTGACTTAAAGCTAACAGGTCTATTTTGACGATTCCAACCGATTGAATTTTACGCCTTGTAATACAAACATTTTTATCCACTAATGTACTGCAACATTTCAATTCTCTCGTTTGATGTAAACCCTTTGTCTCTCAGATGTGATCGGCCTTCCGCAAACAAGTGATGAGAATACTCGAACGTATTAGGAAGATGTTATCTTGATCTACTACCAAACTCCCGAAACTAAAATGCGTAGCAGCTAAAGGGCGTAGCAGCTAAAGGGAAGAATTAATAATCAGATCTTGAGGGTTACAGGGCTAATGAAATTCAGTGAAGTGGGAAAGGCAGCCTGAATAACCTGTTAATTATGATTTATTATAGAACCTTCTTTCAATGTTTATATCAGTATTCATTAGTATTCATTTCACAAAGTGATATATTTTTCCTCTGTTTTTTGAGTACATTAAGGATGTACTTTTGGGTTAGTTTTCGCATGAAAGCTGGAAAAATGACTTTACAAAATGTTATGAACAACAAAGTTTGTCTTTTAAATGTACTTTAGCAACGATAAATGCCATTAACTTGAATTAAAAGAATAAAAAAAACAGAACACCATCAATATTTGGTATTGAATACGTATAGCAACAGGACGATAGTTATGCCGAGACATCAAAGAACTTTTTCATCATGACTTCTACAGCCTCCACAGAGTATTTGATGTACTTTTCAGGATTCTTTGTAAAGGGTAAATTAGCAAATCTACAGAAGAAAAAGAATCAGATTCAACCGAATCAACATGGCATTAGAAATAAAGTGTAGCCTGTGAGTAAGCCCTTAGCATTGGTGCTTCAGGATGAGCGTTTCTTCGCCTGCAGGAAAGTATGTGACCTTGGGCAACGCCGGCCTGCAAGGGGTTCCAGCATTCTTAGGGCCAGACCCCTGGCAAACCTCTCTCGACTCGTCTTTAAATCTTTCCGCGGGCGGAGAAACGCGGGTCCTGCAGCACCGATAATGAAGGCCTGCGAACTAGTGCAAGTAACCATGCACTTCCCATAACCCTTTATGGCCAGCAAGATTTACTGGTGAAGTTTCTTGGGAAGGGAGCAACTTAGTTACTATCTAAGCTATTAAAACAATCGAACAAAATTGTGCGACGCCCTATCGTTAAAGACTTCATTCCTGGAACTTCCTTCAACAAATAACTGAGTCACTTTCCCCTAAGTGGTACATATAAGAGAATTTCTTCGTAGAACTGAAGCACCCTAATCACCAAGGGCGCATCCAAGAATCTTCAACAGGTGGGTCCAACATTAATTTAGAAACCACTGATATGTTTTGCATTTTCAAAGCTAGAGCCTGAAAAAGCTAAGAAATACTGATTTCAAGTCACTACTTACTTCTGTCGAAATGAAGAGTAGAGGGGTAGAATAAGGTTCACATTCTCACCCCGCAGTTGATCTCGAAGCTGTGTATCAGGGACTGCATAGGTTTTCTGTATCTGATAAAGCTCTTCAAATTCTGTATTAAAACCCTAGAAGAAAAAAAAAAAAGGGCATTTTCTTGGTAATGACATTTGTAGACCCTATTTGAGTGCTTGCCAACCCCCACCATCGGCAAGGATTAGAACTAAAAACGCGATGTGAATAACCCAGTCGTTCTTACCACTACCCCCCTCCCCTCCCCTCCCCCTCAAAAAAAAACCAAACAAACATACAAACAAAGCAAAACAAAACAAAAAAAGAATGTAGTCGATTATTATAAAGTCACCAATACAAAGGCAATACTCGACTTGGGAGGAAAGAGTTAGGGGAAGGGGGGAGGGGTGGGAAGGGAAGAACATGCTTTCATAAACTCACTTTTATCAATTCAATGTTTACCTTAAACTTATCCTTTATCATTTGTCGCTGTTTATCTTTCAGCTACACAGGAAGAGAGAATAAAGGTAAGGTTGCGCATGAAATATGAAAGTAACAAGTTCATGTTTACGTGAAGGCCTCAGAGAATAAAATCACATGGGTAATTTTTTAAGACGTGTTTTACTAGGAATAAAACAACAAATATTGTAGACAGCAGTTTGACTAGTAAAACTCTCATAAAAGAGGACCGAGTTTTCAGGGTAAAGTTATGAAAAAACAAATAAACAAACCAAACGAGGTGAAACAAAAATATCTTGCAAGTAGCGGGAGTCAACAGTGCGGCAACCCACATAATCCTTTCTCGCCGCAGTTACGACAAAATAAATATCCTTAAATGTCCTGGTTCTTTTAAACTTACCTTGGCCTGTGGATCATTTCCTTTATGACCTGACATTGGTTTCTCCACTTCCATTAAAACAGTAAGAACTTTATTCCAGCTAGAGAATAACAAACATTTGAATCAATCTTTATATCAAGCACACAACGGCTTAGAGCTAGTCTGTCTGTCAGACAGTCAGTGAATTCAGTCAGTCAGTCAGTTGTACATCAGTCAGACAGTCATCAATTTAAAATTAAGTCAGTCTTCGAATTTTTCAGTCAGTTAGTCAGTCAAGGAGTCAATCAGTCAAGCAGCCCGTTGGCCAGTCCTTCTGTCAGTTAGTAAGTTATCAGTCCGTCAGTCAGACAATCAGTAAGTCGGTCCCTCCGTTAGTCAGTCAGACAGTCATCAGTCATTCACTCGGTCCATCCGTCAATCCATCAGTTAGTCAGCTAGTTTGTTAGTCAATCAATCAGTCAATCCTTTCGACAGTTAGGCAGTGAGTTAGGCAGTGAGTTAGGCAGTGAGTTAGGCAGTGAGTTGGTCAGTCAGTCAGTCAATTAGCCAGTCCGGCAATCAGTCAGTATTTTCATTGTCCATTAGATAGCCAAATCAAACAACCAATCGTAACACGGATATATTTAATGTAATACCACTTCTGATAGGTTTCTTTATGCTCAGCGATCAACTGCTGGTATTGATCTTCAACCCCTGTAATTCCACCTTCCTGAAGAAGAGTGAGGAGACCTGACCTACAAGCGACAAGATGAAAGTTTTGGCGACTATGACTCTCAATTTTACAACACAGAGAGAAATTTGAAAATTACAAAAAACAGTTTTGTAGTAATCTATGGTAATTCGCTCAGAAAACCCGCGTTTTTATTAGCTAACCGCGTCCATGTCATGAACAGGGGTTCTGATTCTCAGAATTGTCATAAATTTAACAGCTGTCGGGATTTTCAGGAGCTCAGTTATAAAACGATCGCAGTGCTCACATTCGAAGCCCCGTCTCGTAAGGCCACTGGACCTTTGAAAGGTTTATTTCACCGCCTCTGTTTGCGGCTCAGACAATCCTATTTCATTCACTCCAAAGGCAAAAAATAAATACTGACTAAGCATGCGCAGAATAATTTCACGTTGCCTTCAATCAACAAGGCTTCAGACGCATAGCTGTCTTGACAAAAAAAAAACGATATTCTGGTTTCGTCTACCATAGCGCGCGCATATGGTGATTCCCTTAAGCTTATAACTCTGCATACGACTTCCAATGCTGATTTTTCAAGGGTCGCGAATGGTTAAGAGAACAAACCCCGTCATGAATCAAACCATTGATGCCACTTAGCTATTTTACCCTAAGAATCTTCTCAATATACTCGCCCCTCTTACCTTTGTAAGGCTTTTACTATGTAGTTGTAATTATTCAGCAGGAAGAGAGAACTAAGCGTTGGTGCCTCGTACACTGTTGCCTTGAGCTCAAGATTCAGTCCCAGTGCCCCAAGTACACGTTCTACATAAGACAGATAGGTATAAAGAGATTACTTTGTGTATTACAATTTGTATTCATACAGGTTATTCGAACTGTATCTACTGAAAAACACTTTCCCTCTACAAATATTTTTTTCACTCTTGTGTAAGGTTCGTATTTGCTTCTAACTGAGTAAGTGATGAAGCGAGTTCCTAAATCACTTGAAAACAGAAGTGTAAAATTTGTAAAAAATACACTAAGTGAAGACAACTTGATACTCACGAATGTATTCAGAAACAACCTTTACGAAGAGTTCTTTTTCTCTTGTGAAGAAATTTCCGCTCTGGTCCTCTGCAATATAAAACGTAATCAACAGAGGAACCTAGAGAAGGCAACGTTTTAGTGCGGTCAGACCATACCTGCATTTCTGATCTTTGCCGCAGTACTTTGCGATTTCCATAAGTCTGCATTTGTAAATGTGCTAACAGTACGGCAGGAACATACGTATCAATTTAAACTAACTGATGGAACGAGTGGATGGAACTCTTTCCGCATCGCAGGTGCACGATTTAACCAGGCGCCAATGAGCGAGGCATCACGCGCGCATGTATGACCATCTTCGCGCATTTACCGCACGATATCGCGCCTGTCACGTTAGCTAACTCTTACCTTGCATAGTTACCAACATGCTTCCTACTGTTTCAGTGTAGGGTAGGAGCTGTTCCATGAAAATAAGTGTCTAAAAACAAACGAAACGGTGAAACAGAGGAAAGCGCAAAGTATGTCAAGTGCACTGATTTGACTTCGTCGTGCTGTTCAGGAGTAGTGCTGATAAGAATATTGAAGCAATCCATATTTGCTGGACATCATGGAACTGTAATACGTGAGACCAGCACTCCGATAGCTTAAATCACTTTCTTGTCTTATACGGCATTACTGCCTAACTAAAAGAAAGGTTCATAACATAACAAAACATACGTTTCTAGTGAGTTCATGAACTGTTCCATCGCTTGGCATGTTAGAATGTTTGTCAGGATTTTGCTGAAATGAAAATTCAAGATAATTCTATGAATAAAACATACGATTTAAGTTTACCTTATAAGGGTGACTTTTTAAATGAAGGGCATCGAATAAAAACCATAAGAGCGCCTAAGGTAATTTAAGGTGTTCTAGGAGAAAGGTTATGCCCATCTTTTATGAGCGAAAACTGTAATTTCTTCAAGAACAACACACATCGTTGCCAAGGCAGATAAACGAGACAATAACAAAATTCTTACAAGCCCAAAATTACGTTAAAGATAACTTTATTTTCACCTTAATGCCCTCCTTAAAATCGTCCAAGGCCTTGGCAGACTATGAAACAAAACAAAAAAACAATGGGTTATCTTATAAATATGTGCAGCAGCTTTAATTTCATGTCAATATAAAGTTGTTTTTCGATGAAACCGTCCAAGATTACCCAACAATGCTAACAATAAGTAAATGAAGTTTCATAATAAGTATATCTTAAGTGGTTTGTATTTTGTTTCCCTTTCTTTTTTGGCGAAGTGTCTTATGAGGTAAACCTGTCTGCTAATCAATCAGTTTGAAGTTTCAACATCCCCCCCCTCCTCCCCCTGAAACCCAGGGGCATTTGACCGTCGTCTGAGCCCGGGGGATGGGGAATTCGAACCCCGCCTGGCTGGGGTGGGCAATTTGAACCAGAAGTTTCGGGTCTTTCCAGCGGAATACAAGTTTTATATGTCTTTAACGTAAATAGTTGACTTTCGCAAGAGAATGGCTTACAAGAAAGGTCTACATGGTCTAGGTTTTAAAGCTTGGTCAACGTGTAGATAGTCATGGTCGCTGGTGTTTCCTTTCGCGGTGGGGCATTTGAACAAAATGTTTTCCCGTGGGGCAGGAATTTGAACAGACCAATCTTCAAAAGTTCAAATGTCCGGGGGAAATTGCCCGGGGGAAATTGCCCAGGGGGGATGTTGAGGCTTAGAATGAATGGCATCATTACTTTATTCGCTGAAATGACTTACCAAGGACTCCAATTCATGAATTAGAGTTGGGAACTGTTTTTGAGTTCTGTGAAATGTCTCCTGCAAGGAAAAAGAATCCAGCTCTTGTAAAACAAGAAAACAAGATCTCTTTTGAAAGATTCTGTCGAGTCTCTAGAGAGAGCCGAGTGGCTAGGACTTGTCCTTTTATCTATTTATCTCCACAGGAAAACAAACTAAAACAGCATCAACAGTACATTGAAATAAATATCATCGTACCTGCAGTGTGACGTAGAAATCGGGTTGAATAGCATTGAATTCCTTAAGTATTGGAAACACCTGCTGAATGGCGGAGTAGTTGTGCTTGCCAAAATGTCGCTTCAGGATACTTATGATGGACTGAAAGAGAAAAAAAATTAATGTCTAAAAAGCTTTATTGCGCGTTCATCAATGACATGACGGACAGGTTTGTCTTTGAAAACATGTAATTAGCTCCAAGTTCTAAGAAACATGCAACTGGCTCCAAGCGCGGGAAAAAATGCAATCGTATCTAAGCGCCAGAAAACATGCAAGCGAATCCAAGTGCGGGAAAACATGCCTATGGCTGCGAAGGAAAAAAACGCCACTGACTCCAAGCGCTAATTTAAAGATAAAATCGGTACCAAATACGAGAGGAATGCGCATTTCGAATGATTTTTAATAATTAAGACCAAGATTCGTTGTGTTTAAATGTTACTACACGAAGAGGAATTGCAAAAGAATATTAAAAACTGTCGCGTGATAACATGGGGATCACTTACCTCCCCTTCGGCAATGAAATCCTCCATAGCGGCCTGAATAAGTGTATCAAAAGTGGTGCTTTGACTCTGCTCGGGAATGATGCTCTTCATTAGCTCTCGTTCACTCTAACAAGACAGTATGGAAACAACAAAAAACAAAAACACTAACATTAGAGATAACATCTCTTGCTGCACAAACAGACTAGACAACGTTTCTTTTACGGGTACAAGATACCCTCAAAATTTCTAGAGTTTGTGTTGACTTGCAATATGGACCAAATTATACCATTTCTTCTTAAAAGAGTCACAATAACTGTAAAATCCTTAGTGGGATTAAGAATCGAACCCAACAAATCTTCTCCTGTTTTGCCATGGATACTTGACGACCCTTTTATCTTACTTCAGACCACACCGCACTTTTTGCAATTTCTAATCCAACTGACCTGTATGAGTCTCAGCAAAGATTTACAAAACACAATGTAGTTTGCAGCATCAATTTCCCTTAAAGAAGTGAAACAATCAAATAAATTAGCTTACTGTCGGGGATATCAGAATAAGTTTTGCAGTGATACGGCAGGAGTTTCAAACGGGCGTGTCTTTCACCATTGATAATTGATACTTCAAAGGTTAAATAAAAACTTACTCTTCTTCTTCTTTGGAAGCTCCAACCTCTGTTGGGATGGCTGAAGTACGACGAGGAAGACCTGACAGAATTTGAACGAAAATAAAAGTCACCTTAAATCATACAATAGAAGCACGTCAACTGATATCCTTCTCATTGCTCAAAAGCAAGCTAAGTTCCTTAATGACAAGCTATCAAATATTTCTTTCAATGGAAAAACACCTCCTTCAAAGAAAATCGTGGAAAATAATCATGAAAAACGTTTACCATGATGTTCTGACTTTGACGGAACACGACGCAAGCCTCTGAAAAAATAAATTAAAATAACTTTCTGTCAGGAACTAGAGAACAGATTTTACCTTGTAATTCAAGACAAGGCACATGGACTGAAGCAGTCTGAAATTACTTCCCCGGTAACTTCCTGAATTGTACTCTCCTCAGTCCTATCTTTTTCCAACAACAATTTAACCCTCAGATGTACCAGAATGAGGAGATGGGATCTAAATCTTTCTAATTCTTTCTTTCTTTCTTTTTATTTAAAGCAAGAACTATTTTATTTTGCCATTTTGAATGAAGATTAGTAACAGTGAGTATAGTTGGGTGAATTTGTTAAATAAATGGATAGGTCCTAATTAATAAGAGGCCGAACCATTTTTGAAGAAATTGTGAAGTTTCCATCATTTTGAGCATACATACTATGGAACCATTAGATCATTGAATTTGCATGTACTGTTTTGGTAATTCAAGTTACTTTGTAAAAATCCGAGTTGGAGACCAATATAAGTTAAGTTATCAGAAGTGAGAATTAACTAATATCAGCATACTCTCTTCTTTTAGCTGTTCCCTTTCTGGTGGGTGTGGTTATACCACCTGTCAATGATAAAAGAAACAAATTCAGAGTTGTACAGTTAATTCATTGAGTCACATATTGTTTGAAAAAATAACAAATCCCTTACAACCATATAAGTGACAGAAATAAACTAAAGAAGGCATTGCTTGTAATAAAGACTCTCTAGTATTTATTGTTTTTGGGAAAATAAAAAAAAGACCAGAACTTTCCTTCAGTAAAGTTCTGAATCTCCTTGCTGTAGCCTGTGTGTAGCTGTACCCTCTCCCCCAATGAGCATCAGAAGAGGGGGGGGGAGAGGGGGGTACAGCTACACGCAGGCTACCTTGCTCTATGGCAGGTGAGGTAGTGCCTGCACATGGGACTACTGAAGATAGGTCAGGGAACTTATTCTTTTCTCTGTATAATCAAGTGACTTGGACTGTGGCTACCCCTATGAAGAGGGGAGGGGAGGAGGGAAGGTCAATGGCAGCTTACCCCACAATTCTAAGTCAAGTTTCCCTAAAAGCATACTGGGGTTCACCTATATTCCTGGGTGGAGAGGATAAGTATACAATTTGTACAATAAAACTGACTGATACCAACCTGGAGCAGACTTCATCTTGCTACCATAACACTACATAAAATCAAAGAGACCAAATACAAAGCATTGTTTACTTTTCAAAAAGAAAACAATTAAAAGTCATGAACAACTTTACATTTTTAAGTACAGGTATCACACAAACAAATGATTGGCATTCTGTTGGTGATAAAAAATAGAAAAGGAAGACTAACTGAGTTTTAGGAAGGAAAGGTCTCCTTAGTTTGAATGCAAATGAAAAATAAATAGTTACAATACTTTCTCTGAGTAAAATACATGTTTTTAATGCAGATCACCATGACTTAATATGCAGTTAACTTCACATTCTTCTCTTTTAAATGAAAGAAACTGTACTTACATCTTTTAACCTGAAAAGGAACAAAGAAAAAATGCCAGTTGACATACAAATCTTTATCTCTTTCCACCCTAACATCAGTATGCATATTCTCCATACTGTTTTCTATAAATTTCCTAAGGAGCTGACAAGGAGAATTTGTTTGACAATCATGAGCTCTTTTAGTTAATGATCATTTCCTTTATTCTCCTGACCTTAATGTTTGATTCAGGGGTGATATTGTAAGGAGAAATTAGATGCTAGTCACTCTAAGGGCTTAAAGGGTTGAAAGGAAGATTTCTAAATACAGCTCAAACATGTGACAAACTTTTCTTTGCAACTAGAATGACTTACCCCTGTAGAGATCGCACAAGGGAATTCGATCTGATTTGGGCATAGACACTCATAAAATCTGAAGGACAAACAAAATGTTAAGTTCTATTGGGGAAGTGGTTTTAAAATTCATAATAGTGGAGCTGCGTAGCCTCATAATTATACAAAATAGTAGTAACCCATCAAGTCAAAAAAATTTGGATGTACGACCATACAACTGTACAACTGTACAAGGTGCTACTTTTAGCATGAGTGGTCAATTGTACTGCGGGCACACCAATGCCACGGCTTTGTCCAGTAGTCCAGTGGTCAGTGCACTGGGCTTTGAGTCAGACGACCTGGGTTTTAGTCCTGGCCGGGGCAAGGCATTGAAACGTACAGGAAAAAAAAAATGCGAGCTCCACTTTTAGGCTTGGCTAAATCTATATATTATCATATCACAAGAAAATGACCTTCTGAACTCTCTGAAGCATGTTTATCAAAAGGTCCATCATATAATTGCTGGCAGTCTAGAACACACATGCCAAAGACATATCTTAGCCCTTAACACTTGATATCAGTATCCATATTCTCCATACTCTTCTCTATACATTTTCTTCAGTACTGACAAGGAGAATTCAATTAACAATCAGAACAACTTAGATTGGCGATCACTTCCTTTTATTCTTATGACCTAAGTGAATGATTCAGAAGTATCACTGTTGGGAGAAATTAGATTCTGGTCACTCCAGGGTTTAAAAGGTTAGTTCACAACTCAAAAGTTTGCATTTATAATGTTAATGTTAATGATAATAATGTTAATGTTACAGAAAAAAAACAACAAATATATTAAAAGTACTTAAACAAACAAATTTTTGGAAAATAACAGTGAAGGATAAAGCTCCATAGAGTAAATTCTGTTTTCTTACCCACAGTTTCATCATATCCAGGTCCATTCAGCCAGTGGGTTATGGTACATAAGTCTTCTAAAACTTTCTCTGTAAAAGAAGAGACAGAACATTAACACAGATCTGACCACTGATAAGGTAATAGATGGCTTTATGAACAGAGGGAATAGGTTTCTAAAGAAACTGTTGTGCTGTGTTGGTGGGAGGGTAATGTAACAAGGTTATTTGGTATTATCAACCGAGTTGATAATATAAATTGGCCACCGTGAAGAGTTTCAAAGCTGACATTTTGAGTGTTAGCCCTTTGTTGGAGTGAATGCGAAGGGCTGATGCTTGAAATGTCAACTTTGAAACTCTTAACCATGATAATACTGTTGATAATATTAAATTACCCTCACATGACTTCAGTTGTGACCTAAGTCAACACAGTTGACATGTACTCCGTGCTTGCTATCTGACATTACTTTAGACCTCTACAGCTTCCAGTCTGTCATATTCATTTGAACTTAAATAACAATAATAATAATAATAATAATTATAATTAAAATAAAAGTTTAAGTTCTTGGTTACAAACCTGATAAATGCTCTAGCTTGACATTTTCCTTTGAGTTTTCTTTAGAGAAAAATGGAAAAAAATAAATGTTTAGATTAAGATGGCTTAAAGGAAAGCCCAGTTCATCAATAACACTCTGTGAGTAAAAAATATAAATTGAAAAGGAGGAAAAGCCAATATAATAGAAAGTGATGTATTACCATTAAAGTTTGAAGTTCTCTAAGCTTTTGATCTCTATTTTGCTAAGCTGATACATTTTGACAAGACTTAAAGTATACTATTTTTGTCCAGTGTGTTGTTCATGTTTAAAAAAATATTTCATATTAGAATGATTTCAAACAAGTCTGATTTGTTTCTCATTTGGTTTAAGGGTTGCAGTAAAAAACCTAAAAACCAAAGACCAAGTTGAATTAAATTTAATTGAAATCATTTTGAGCCAATACTTGTGTAAACTACAACAATTATATCCGGTTTACACAGGGACAACTAAATGGTAAAAATTATAACTGAAAAGCAACCTGTCTCACTCTCCACCAGTTCCACAATCATCTCCACAGGAACAGGTTTACTGTGCCTGTTTAACATCAGGCGGAATTCTTTCTCTAGTGAGTCACGTCCATAATCACGCAGAGCAGTCTGCAAAGAAATGACTCACTTTACCAACAATGACTAAAAAAATTTCTTTCATACATTATGAGACTACTTTAATCTTGGTGGCCACCACCTTATCCCTGTTGGCCACCTTTTATAAGGCCACTTTGGAAATCATTGAGCTTATAGCAAGATACAGTTTTGCAAAAACAACTCAGTATACATACCAGGCTAGAGAGTTCCATGCAATTAGGATTGTTGTGATTAAAGAACTCAATTGCATCTAGCACTCTTTCAAGATTTTTAATGTAAGCTTCAAGTTGACCAGTGGGGCTGGAGAAAAAACAGCATTACAATAATAAGTGTTACAGCAATTATATCTGTTTTAACCGATCATTTCACTCCCAAGACGACACTTATTAATTAGTAATTCTTCTTACTTTCTGCTACAGATTTCTTATAATGTTAGTTCTGAGAATTTGGTATTGAATCAACTTATATCACCTAATTGACATATTTCTTCATTCACATCATTAAATATCTGCTTGATATTGTCTTGATATTGTGGGGAGAAATCTTCTCTTGGTCATTCACAGAAGTTAAAGGCCTAAGGAAATCTCCTACGTTTGCCCTGTTTGAAAATGTGCACTTGTACCATTAATACTTACGAATCTCTGATGACATGTTCCACACTAGCAGAGACATGGTGATAACTAATCACATGATCCAATGCCGACAAACATTTATCAATATCTGGGAATGGCTAAGAAGTTTAATGTTACATAATAATTTAATGAAACCGAGCTTTTGCTGTTAAGTCTACTTAAAACAGCATGTGCCTTTCAAAGTAAGCCTCCTTCTGTTGGATGGACTTCCACTTAAAGTTTGTTCATTGTTTACTTGTACATAGTATACCATAATATCTTTTTGGTGTGCTTTCCTGTTTCATTACAATTTAAATTAATAAATAAATTTAATGAAACACATCTGCACACTAAAAATGTTCAAAAACCTGTTGATGCCTTAAAATTGCTAGCCTCTCTCCCAGGGAGGAATTTCTCCGTATCTTGATTTCTTAGAAATGTCTGAAGGAGAGGCTGAAAATGCCTATTGAGTAAGTTTTCATAATTAAAAGTACAGCTGAACCTGCACTAAGTGATCACCCACAAGGAATGGTAGGGTAACTGCTAAATAAAGTTGATCACTAACTACAGGTTTTACAGAATGGGTGTATCACAAAAAGCATCATTTTATGCCATAACTGATCACTTTCAATGTACAAGCACTCACTCAAAATACTACTTTAACATTTATTTCAGAACATGGCATAAAATGACTCGAGATATTATTCTTAGTTTTATTTGTCTAATGAGTGGTTTTATGCTTTTTAAGGATACTAGCTTGTCTTCTTTGCAAGTCATCAGTTTCCCGATGAACAGGAACAATGGTGTCTTCCAGTTTATGTATGCGCACCTCAAACTTGGACAAGATATCAAGCTATAAATACAAACAAGTAAAATGGTAATAGATTTTCACCCTCATGACAAGAAAGAGATCCCAGCTAGGTGTGCATAAAATATCCTTTGAGTAAGCACTGTTTTTCACTGCATGCCCTTGAATACTGATGAGAATATTAGCACTTAACATTAAGAGGATCTCTCACCAGATACCAGGACAATAATTGTTTAATTTATAACACCACATAACATTTTTTGTATCATCCTCCCCAGGGTGAGTATTACATATATTACCAGGGGTATCCCCCAAACCACTGACCAGAATCATGAATAAAACTCTTGATAGAAGTCATAAGCATGAACAGTCAGTGTGTTGAGCTCTGAGGCAAACAACCTCTGTGGGACAGTCATGTTTTTGTTTTTTTATAAGTTGACTCATTATCATTGTCAATTGTCTGGACAAGAAAAGTTAGCAACATGGAATCAAAAGTGGAATTGTACTCACCATGTTCCCTGTAATTTGATCAGTCTTTTCCAAGCTGTCTTTGAGAAAAGCCAAGATGTTTTTCTCCTGAAATGAAAGAAAATTTGTAAAAGAGACTCGATACCTTCTTTCCTTGTTCATATAACCTATCTCTCCAAAGCTTTTGGTACTCTTTACTCCTAGAATTTAATAGCTAAAATGGTATCATCATGCTAACCCTGCACAAGCAAACGTACAGGAATAACCTGCGGCCTATGAAGAATTAGAGACAGTGTGTTGTTTATGGAAAAGTAATATTGAAAAATCATGTGCGATAAATGCAAGATGGTTCTCAGTACTCTTCAAAATACAAAAGTGGAAAAAGATTAAGATGATCATTACTTACCAGCAAATCATTTTGCGAATTACCAAAGAATTTTCGATAAACGTGGGGCTGGACTAACCGACAACATACTGAATAGAGCGAATTTTACATGGGCGATATCTCCTTCTTTTATTTTACGCCATAAAAATTAACTTAGGTGTAGAGAAACGAATAAATATTCAGAAAGTCGAGTTAGACGCACAGAAATACTTATGTTGGGTTTAATTTCCTGCCAGCCACCAGGAGTGGAAATTACCCCAGGGAAATACCTGAGCTAGTTTGTCGTCCAGCTGTCGTTTCCTCAGAGAAATGTCATCCATCGTTATCCACAGGAAATCGAGCTACTATCCTACTGGTTTTCGATCGAAGTTCATTTTTTTTTTCGATGAGAAACTTATTTTTCAACGTTTGGTTGCCAAAAAGTTAACGGCTCCTTTGCTGCGAATCTTCTCCGATGTTTTGATTGCAGTCTAAAATTACCAGCGGCATAACTATATGAACGTAAAGTACAGTGTGTATTGAGCATGAAGTCTCTCAGAGAAATCCAAAATGGCATCCATGAAAACATCTCCAAGTCTGGTCAATTTCTTTATTTACAATTCCACTTTTGGACCTAAGGAAGGAATGGTATGTTCTGTTTTTCGTTTTCTTCCATACCGATATTTACATAATGGCGTTCATCGTTCGTGGAAAGCAAATTAAACTTCATTCAACCTTTCCAGAGTTCCTGTGATCATGAGTTCCTCCAACAGTCGTGTGCTAGTTATATCCAGTTTTGTGAATTTCTGAACTTTTTTAGGATTTAAATAGGTCGTATTTTTGAAAGGGTATCCATTGAACGACCATCCTAGCCCTGAATGCTACTCAAAAGGTCTCTCTATTAGTAGCTGGATCGAGGAAACCTGCGATTAGGTGATTTTAATAATACTTTGTTTGTGAGTTTGTTTTTTTTCAAACAACAGGAAAAGGAAAAGATAATTCTCTACATCCCGACTGGTGAAGAACTAGACAAGAAAATAAAAAACATTGGCCTTTGTGAAGCATTGGTTAAGTTCACTGAGTAAGATGAAATCTCCTTGAAGCTGTCTTGTACTTGTTGGAGACGTTTTCGCAGTGTTAGAAAAATATTATAATTATATATATTTGTATGCGAGCTCATTAGCAATCCAGGGTTCGCAAAAATATTCAGCACTTGCATGGCTAAGCTAATCTAGCAATATATAAGGCTAAGCTAATCTAGCAATAGATTCCAATTACCACTCCTAATATATGTCTGTAAATTAAAAAACAAAAACAGAAGTCAAGTGAAACAAATTATGGTTAAAAACCCTAACAAGTGGGAGGCCAACAGGTCTACCATGTACAAGAAAATTTCATTTTTTATTTGATACACATTTTTTCAACTTGCATATTTTAGGACATTCTCACCAGAAAAACCCTGCAACTCTTTGCACACACAGAAAACAAGACAGGTCTTCTTTGAAGCAGAACCAGAATTCTGGATGATCATGGTAGGTGTTTTTTGGTTTGTGAGATATGCGATAGTTTCATAAATCAGCATTTGAAAAGGCAGCATTTAATTTCTATGAAATCACAATCATGGATATCTTGCCTTGAGCTAACCAACAGGTACAACAGTATTGTTTAACCCTTTAACTCCCAGATCAAATTTGAAATTCTCCCTAATGTCAACCATGGAATTCATATAATGTTAGTTCAGAGAATTTAGTATTGGATCAACTAATAATTATTATCCCCAAATTGAAAATTTTCTCAATTCCCATCACTTATCTGTTTGATATTGCATTGATATTATAAGGAGAAATTCTGTCTTGGTCACTCATGGGAGTTAAAGGGTGAACAAGGTAACTTGAAATTAATTTTGCAGACAGTGAGCATTCCCTTCAGTGAGAAGATGACTAAGGATGGCAAGATGTTTGTTGAATATCATGATGAAGATGTTTTGGTGAGTACCGATACTTGTTTCCTTCTGTAAATGATGGCTTAAACATATTTTCTTAGTTATTGATTCTTTATTCCCCACTCAGGATTCTGTGCTAGATGGTGTTTTAAAACAGGCATACAAAATGTTTAAGGTAAGAGAAAAGTGTGTGTATTGGGAGAGGGAGGGGTGGACGAATGTGTTTGTGTTAGGGGAGGAGAGGGTGGAGAACGTAGACTGAGAGTCTTACCAGCAAATCTCCCCAAATGCTATTCAGGTTACAGCTGTGGGTGGCTATGTGTGAGTAACTTTTTTTGGCATTTAACAAGGTGAAATGAATCTGTTATAATAATTGGCTGTTTTCTCTGATTCTTAATGGAATAAATGACTGTGAATATATGAAAGTCATATATTTGAAATGCAGATAAAGACATGAATATGAAAGCAATCTTCACAGTAATGAATGCTACTTGAGCAGTAGTGAAAACAAGGCCTGGAGAAATATTGGTTTATTTGGAACCAACATAACGACCAGCTCCCAGTTGGTTGTTAGCTCAGTTGGTGGAGTGCTGCACCAGTATCACAGAGGTCATGGGTTCAAGTCCTGTACATGCCTGATTTTTTTTTTTAGGCCTTATTTTCACTACTGCTCAAGTAGTGTTCATTATTGTGAAGATTGCTTTCATATTTATGTCTTAATAGAATGTAAACAATTACAAACCCACTGTCTGTTAATTATTATCATTGATTTCTAAATTAATAATTGATGGGTGTTTCTCAGCTTTTCAATGGCACATTCTCCTACATTTTGAAGACCTACAACATTGAAGCTCTATGTAAGAGATTGGAGCATTTTTATACCTCTGTAAGTAAACACACTTTCCTGTTCTCTAGATGTTTACTTTATTTTGTAGATTTAAATTTTCTATCATTGCAGTAGACAGTGTTAATAATGATTAGTCATAAGAACCATAATTAGATCAACTATTAACAATATATTTTATAACATATTATTATATATTGTTAAACATATTGTCACAATATATACAATATATTGTTAATAGTTGATTTAATTATGGTTCTTACCTACTGTATTCATTAAATCTTACTTTAATCCTTGTCATGTCATCTTGAAACCTTTTTGCTTACAATTTCAGATGTGTTCGGTATTGCTGATTTTTTAGAAGTTGAAAGTTGCTGCTAAAATAATTTTGCAATCATTTTAAGTATTTACAGACCCTCAACTTCTCTCAGTTTAACCTTTTGGATGTCTTTTCTGGTGAGTTAGTCAAAACAAATCATGATAAATTGATTAATTAAATTAAGTATTTTTAAAGGGAAAATGTCAAAATTTACTTCCTCATGAAGACTTTTGAAGATAGTGTATCTTATCATATTTACAGAAAATTGAAAAACGTTTAATTTATATGTTTAACTATATGCAAAAAAATTTATTTTCTCACTCTGCGTAGTTAATATTGTCTTTGTCAACTTCTTCTTTTGTATTTTCAACAATATTTACTTTGCCATTTGCAGACAAATGTTGAATAATCAAAAGGATTTGCTAATTTTTATAACCTTTTTTTTTTTTTAAGGGATCAATTTTCTACCATTAGATAAAAACACCTTTTTAAGGATACAATCTTTTATCAATGTGATTGAACATACATTCAGGTAATTTTTTTAAAGTAATGATTAGTGAAGAGGAGTTGTTTCTTTGGGTGTACATTTGTAAGGAAAAATTGTTTTCACAGACAACTTGTAAATTCACAATCACTTAATGCAACTGCCAAAATTTTGGCCAGTTTTTTTTCTCTCCTGTAATTTTTTCTAATATTTTAGAGCAATGTATTTGATAACCCTCACAATCACTAAATGCAATTGCTAAAATTTTGGCTGGTTTTTTTTCTCTACTGTAATTTTGTCCAATATTTTAGAGCAATGTATTTGATAACCCTCTCTGAAAAGTATTCTTGTGAACAAAATAGGCAAATTAAATGTATCCTCTGGTTTTCCTGTTCCTGATCATTCAAACTTCAAACAGTTGAATTTCTCAGTTCAACTCTTGTACTGATTATTACCTAATATCAGTTGAATATCTTTTTGGCTATGTCTTATGATCCATTGTATTTTGTGACAAAATGAAGACCTTGCTCTTTGTAACTTACCTTTTCTTTTTAAATTATATTTGGTGTATGCCTCTACTTAATTGTTATCTTACCATTGAAAATGTTAATAAAACTGATCTCTCTTTCAGCCAAGTAAGATATACATCCTTCCTTTATTCTGAAAAACTGGTCTGGTGAGTGATGAATGATCTACAAGAATAATAATTTTATTTTTTTATTATAATTTAATGTTTACCACTGTGGATAATAATTTTATTCTTGTTGTTATCAAGGTGGAGTAATATAAACTGCTGACCCAAAAAATTTTTTAATTCTGATAGGTTTATGCTGACCAGTGACTAAACTCAACTGGCTAACAATATTGTTTTATCTTAATATTTACCATATTTGGTTGCTAAACTGTTAACTGTTTAAAAAATTTGTTGCTTCTCATTACACTCACAGGAGTGGTCTTGAGCAGGAAGACATGCGTATCCTTTACAAGTACTTGGTGACAAGTTTGTTTCCTTCCACAATAGACTTAGAGGTACTTAATATGCTCTCTGCATATTTTAACTTAACCCTTCACCTCCAAGATCAAATGTGTAATTCTCTTTGCTGTCAACTATACAATTCTTAGTTCTCTGTTAGTTCAGAGAATTTAGTATTGGATCAACTAATTATTCCCAAATTGATATTTTTCTCTATTCTCATAACTTATCTGGTTGATATTGTATTGATATTGTAAGGAGAAATTCTGTGTTGGTCACTCATGGGAGTTAAAGATTGTACAGTACTGTTGTAACTCTGATTTTTTCTCTTTTTCTTTGTTTGTTATTTGCTGTACATAATTATTGTTAATTAGTCAAGAGTAATCCTCAAACTGGTTATTTAGCTGAGCAGTCCTGATACATAGGTGTAAAATATTTTAAAATGTTCAAATTTTTTATCTGTGGTTCTTCTCCCTCTAGAGTATGGAAAATCCAAGATCTCAAGGATATGTTATAGTTCAACCCAAGCCTCACCATGGAAGGTAACACTACATCATGACAGGACGGAAAACGCGTGCACTGTAAGTACCTCCCGTTGTCCCATACAAAGCCTTAGAAAAGTTTTCTAAGGCTTTGTATGGGACAATGGGAGGTACTTACAGTGCACACGTTTTCCATCCTGTCATGAAAAACTGACCATACTTCAACTTTATTAAAATGATTCATCCCTTACTAGCTTAAGGCATAAGTTGACAAAAATCAAGCTGGAGTTAGGGATGGAGAGGTGACAACTTTCCTCTTGATGTCTATGCAAGAGACTCTTGCAGAGACTGCCTGTATGATGAGATACTCAGAATTAAAAATGAAACATGTTCAGACTTGATTGATGGGATTTTTCCATGCACAAGGTCAATATGTTCACTCACAAAAGAAAACTAGGACATTAAATTCTGAATTAGGATGTCAAGAGTTTTTCTCTATTTTCAGGTTCATAACAGGTCCCACTGAATTGGATGACGTTCCAATACCAAGAACCCCACCAAAGATATTTGTTAACACAGATTCTGAACAAGAAGAACTTATATTAGTGGTGTACAAGGTACAGAGTATGGGGTGATGTCAAAATGGAGTGGAGAACAAATTACTAATTTGAGAGACTTGCTGTCTATTAGTTAATGGCTTGTGAACTAGGCTCCCAGTTCAAAAGATCAAACTTTGGTAAACATACGTGCAATTAATTCGGAATAAATAAGCACTTGTGAATTTTTTTCAAGAATACAATAATTTTTATTGCTTTTAAAATAAAGTTGGTAAAAATTTTCCATTGGGAGAGTTTTGTTATTTTTCTCAAATGATAATATTTTTATTACTACCAAAAAAAATTATGTTTTTAACCCCAAGATCTGATTGTTAATTCTCCCCTCTAGCTGGCACACAATTCCTTGTAAATAAGTTATGAGAATTTGGTAACAACTTCTTCCTGATAAGTTTGAGTATTCTCATCACCTAGTGGCTGGATAATGTAAGGATATTATAGGGAGAAGTTACTAGTTAATCACTTGTGGGAGTTAATGGGTTAATTGGTTTTGAATTCTTTTCTTTCCTGACCAGGCGCTTGAAGCAACAATATGCCTGATGATCTCTGGTACGTCAAATGCTGATATGATGATGCTGATAAACAGGCTTCTAAATAAATATAAATTGTTTATTGATCAGATTTTTAAATTAACTACTTTCTCAACAATTACCATTATGTTAATTAAATGTGATATTTTTCTCTTTCAGGTTCATACCCAACTCTAGACTTTTTTAGGAAGATTGACAACTTTATTGGCCCTCAACTTACCACACTGGCCAATATTATTGGTGAGCAAAGTGCCAAGAAACAGCAAAGGTATTTTATATACTATTCCAATAATTATCTACTTAATTTATGAACTCTCATTTTGTTAATTTTCATCACTATCCTCTTGTGAGACTTGTCAGTTTAGCTGTTGTAATGTTTTCTTGATCATGTGTAGCTCAGACCAACAATATCGCTATCTGTACTTCAACCACATGAACTTGGCTCAGAAGTCATCTGTTCACTCCAAAAAGTCATCACTTCCATGTGTTGCACCTGAGATAATGAGGCTTATGGGTGACATAAGTGCTGACTTTGCAAGGTAAAGTTTAACAGTCTTGAATCAATCTAACTAGAAAGTGGTTGTGTACATTGAAACTATTTAGCTAAAAGTATAAAAATTATCTTCTCACCATTCTTAATAAACATACCATACAGTAATTTTCACATCAGCATACTGAAATGTAATACTTCTGTCACAAATGTTGGCTTTTCCCAGAGTAATTTCATAAACTAATAAATAATTATAAAATTAATGGTTTTGCTCTATCTTTAGTTTTCAGGAGGATGGTGAAACATTTGTGAAAACAATGTCAGATTGCTGGATTGTGGGAAGAAAATCTGACCAACGAGAATTATTCGTGATCTTGAATCAAAAGAGTGCAAACCTCATAGAGATTGATGGTGAGTGGTTTGAACTAAATTTTTCATCACACTTATGATAAGCCAAAGATGAATTAGTGCAAAGTGTAAACAATAATAGAGGTTTAGTGATTTCCCTTAATAATGCTGCAATTTCAATTACTTTGCAGAGGAAGTTAAAAGATTGGGCATCACACAATTTAACAACATCTTCTTCCTGGACTAGCATGAAGAAAAACAGTGGTACTGCAGGCAAAAAACATATAGTGGCTGTCTCAGGGTAAAATGGTCACTCAAAATAGATTATCTAGTAAACAAGATGTGGGCTGACCTCCCTTTCTGGACAGGGAAATGTCACTCTGTCAATGAAACGGTAGAATAGTTGGGATCTTGGCATGAAATGGAACAAAATTTTTTATCAAAATTGCAGGAATGGGAATGGAAGTCTAATGGCTTTAAAAAAACAGCAATTTCTAATAGGAAGAAGGACATATCCAAAAAAGTATGAAATTAATTTAGTGAAACAAATTTAAGAATAAAAGTTTTGAAATATGCTTTCCTCTATTTTCTCTTTTCTGTGGTGTAGATGTTAGTAAATCAAATGTAAATGTAAGTGAATTACAATTATTGGAAGAGGAAATTTTTCGAATATTGTTATTATGTTGTATTTAACAATTGGCTCATACATTGGCATGCATTCATTGAGATATGAAGCAAGCAGGAAGTTTGAAGAGCACAAAAGATGCATAAAAGTTGCTCTCCAAACTTCCCAAGTGCTTCACATCTTGATGAATGCACAGCTGACATATGAATCAATTGTTTTATAACATTTTCAACCCAATGGTTTAAATGTTGTAAAAGGGTTAATATCCTTCAGGAAAATATTTTGCTACACTGTAAACGATCTTGTTTCCATGTTTAGCTTAAATTGCTGCCTTAAAGTCTTGACCAGTTTTTTAGAAGTAAAATCCCACAGTAAAAAATTTTGGAGAAAATTTTTTTTCTCAAGGGATTTGTTTGCTGACATCATGAGCATGCGCAATAGGAATATGAAGCACACTCACGCAATTGAATTTGATTAGACAAATTTGCTTGTTTGTAGTAAAAGTAAAGAAAAAATTTCATCAAATGAAGGCAGTAATTATTTATTTCAAGTAAAATTGTACAAGATTTACAACATTACAAATTGCTGTTCTTAAAATTCAAACTTTCCCATTTTTATATACAGTAAAACAATATTAATAGTAGATGAATAAAAGGCAACTTTGACAGGAAAAACATTTAACTTCAGTATTGTCACCAAATCAGAAGTAATGAATTAATTGAACACAAAATATATTAGTTGACAACATTATGTTGAAGATGTAGGATATTTTAAATACTTTGACTCTTCAAAGTGATAAGTATCTCAAATTTAATGCAATATTGGGCAGGAAGGTAAACAGAATATCAAGATTACAGTATCAACTGATGGATTTTACTGTAGTATATCAGGGTGTTCCTCATGCATTGAAAACAAACTCTATGCTAATTTAGCAAAAATGCTGTGGGCTCAATTTCAATAACCTGTGAGCAATTTTTCATTCAGATGTTGAGGATTTTCTCCAGTTACTCAACACTACTCCCCTGCCGTAGTACCAGTTAACTGTACCTTTCTTGATGGGAAGCCTGTGATATGGCACCAAATTTTCAGAAGTAGTCAACAGAGAAATATATGGCCATGAGATTAAACAAAAGTCCAAATTCACTTAGACCAACAGTTATAGAACAGAACCAGCAGAAGGGTACAAACAAAAAGAAGAAGGGATAAGGTAAAATTGTTTAACCCAATCTCCTTCTTGTTCCTTGCTATCATCTTGGGCTACTGGCACTGTTTTGCAGCTGTTGCGATCAACTGAATGCCTGGGAAAGGCTATAGAGATCCTCTGAGGGAAAAAATGAATTATGTACGCATTATGCAAGCCCAACACTGCCACTAGTTGTAGTTCTCTGTAAAAAACATGAATAGTGCATGCCAAACACTATCTTGCAGGGAGGCCATGAAATTGTTTTAAAGAAGTCAATCTTGTCTTAAATAAATGTAATTTGTGTCTAGAACATCTTATTGACAAATTAACACTCTAAAACTGCTTCATCAGCCACACCAATTGGTGGAAGCCCCTCTAACATGGACCACTTTCTTACCACAAACATACTACAAGAGGTCAGAACAACTTCATCAGTGATGAAGACCCAAAACAAAGTTGGCAAACAAGGTTACCCTCATTTTCCTCTCTGGACCTCAAGACTTGACATTTGTGTGATAAAAACTTCATGGAGGGAGAGAAGCTGGCTATGTCACTTGAACAATTCCCTCTTCCTGCGTTGTCCTTGGCTTTTTGTGAAACAGAATCAGAAGCATGAGGATTGGGAGGTAAATCAGACTAAACCGAAAAAGTTTCCTTGCAGACCTTGAATCTGAGTCTTTATAAAACTGATATCCTAAATAAGTATTCCAAAAGTTAAGTGGTAAAGAGTCTAAAGCCAGCCACCATGTTGTGACTCCACATGCTGGTAGAAGTGTTGTAAGACCAACCAATGCTAAACAGTGTCTCAGTGTCACCCGTCTGCACAGGGGTGCATTTGTTACACACATCATGCGATAACCAGCTATGGTAAGACAAGAAAAACAAAACAAAATTAGGATAGGAAATTTGCTGATAGCACAGGAAGCTTACTATGATCTGCAGAAGGACAAAGAGATGCTGTATGCACAGATAAGTTTTGGGTTCTCTTTGGCTTAATCGCTGTTATAAAGTAAACTAATATTGATTATCAAAAGTTTTCTACATCAAAAGAAAAAGGATCAAGTTACCCAGTCTTGGTAGGAAAGAATAATAAAGCAGCAAATGAGTAAATGTATATGACATGTTCACCTATTCTTTTTTCATATCCAGAGTTCACTTTGGACCCCTGAGCACTGTATTGCTTAGATTCTCATATAAACCCTTTCACTTACAAGATCTAATGAGTAATTCTCCTTACTCTATGCCATATAACTCTCATGATGCAAGTAAGGAGAACTTGTTATTGGATCAAATAATAGTCCCAATAACTTGTCTGCTTGATTTTGAATTAATATTTTAAGGAGAAATTCTGTATTGGTCACTCATTTGAGTTCGAGGGTTGAGAACCTCCAATGAAAGTAAATTTGGGTTCTAAAAATAATGGAGAATTAATATGATCATCCATTACCTCTTGAATAATCAGCTCTGAGATTCCAGCTCAAAGCATTAAAATGTGGAAACTGCCAAGAGTACAAAATTCCTGCCAACACTAATCCACCAGCATCTATTCCTCCAGTACAAGCAGCCCAACCCATCAGGGGGGGCAATGCTCCCACTACTGACCCCACCCAAGTATTCACAATACTCAGACGCTTCATAGGGGTGTAGACAGATGTGTAGAGTATCAGGGTGGCTGCCCCTGTCAGAGAACAAAATAATACAACGTCATAATTTTACTTAGAGTCGCTAACACGCCTTCAACATGCTCAATAAAGTCAAACCTCCATGTGAAGTGAAGTCACATTTAGTTAAGTGTAGTACTAACCCAGGGCAGCAGTTAATCCATTGACTTGACTGGTTAATACAGAAACACCCATTACACCAGTTGCCATGGCAAACAGCACCACATGAAGAGGGCTATGGATAAACAAACGCAAAAATAACATGTATAAGTGACCAATGACGTAACTGATCTCAAAATAAAGAACACATGAGGGACCCCTCGTCATGGGATGACTCTTGTGTTGTTTGAATGTTACAACGCTTACCTCAAACGGGCCCTGACAAGAACACGGTTTTGTGTGCGGCTCATTTGTGAGTCAAAAGGAACTTCTAGCCACTTTAAAAAACAATCAAACAAATTTCATCTGATTTTGAGTCAATGTAAGAGAATAAAAAAATCAAAATTGGATGACACAGGACCACCACAACTTACACACTTGAAAAAAAATTTTTTTTCTTTTCAAGCATTTGCAATCAATTATGCATACCTGGTTAAATGCATTTGCCGATGATGAACAGAGGCCTGTTCCTAGTCCAGCCCAAAGAAAAGTACTAAGATTCATGGCCCCTGGTGCAATGGCATACCCAGCCATTTCTGTGATTACCACAAGACCTACAGCAAAAATGGAAATAATACTTACTGCATCTGACTAAAAAACACTCACAATACTATGCGAACAACCAGTACATGTATTGAAGAAGTAAATAGAAAGACAAACTTTTTTTCCCTATCCCCTCCCCCTCTTATACCCACTCTGGCCTGGTAAAAAGTGAACTATAGGAGTACTTAATAGTAACACAAACCTCTTTCCTTATCCCCCCCACTGCTACTTCTCATCTTCTAAGCCCAAATCAAACAAAATTCTAAGTTGAATTTTTAGTTATAATAATCTTGCACTGAAGGTTGCAAAATGTCCCACAACTAAATAAAGAATACAAACCTGTTAGTCTGATCTTTGACAGCTGCATGTACTGTCTTGGCAATTTTTTCCAATCAATTTTCTGTTCCACCCACTCCTCCTCTGTGTCATCGCTCTTCTCCTCTACATGAGAGAGACTTTCCTGGGCCTCTACACCACATGTTGTCTTTCCAATCAGTGCCACTGAAGTTGACTTTGGCTGAAAAGAAAGGGTACATAATGTCAAAAAATACAATAGAACCTGCTCACTGCGTTAACTTGCACTCCCTGCTTGCTAAAACAAAATCCTTGATCCCTTGGATTTTACTCTATATTTCGAGTCATTTACTATCTGTTAACTGAGCCCAAGTAACTCCAACTATCTAATTTTTTTTCTTCCCTTTGCTCAAGTTTACTCTGATAACTTAAACTTTAAGTAAAACTGTGCAAAGCTGTACAGAGCTGTACAGCACTCTATTGAGCAAAAATCTTCTTTCCAGGTGCTAAACATTGTCCAAAAAAGTAGCTGCTGTTATTCCAAGACTACACAGCCCACTTAGTAAGTTACTCTATTTGAAACAGCAGTTTGTATATTGACCAGTTCTAAGAATTTCTCATCCTAAGAATGTCTGTCAACAGAAGCTGCAACTGTGATTCCAATAGCTACATTGCAATAAATTCATTTTTTCTTGTAATATTTTAAAATGTCTAAAAATTAATTCTCCTGAATTGTGTATCAATTAATGATTTGCCACTTGGATCTATCACTGTTAGCAAAGATTAAGAAAATTTGGAAATATTCACAAAAATACGGTGATCTCTGATTTCGTGTTAGATGGTCTTGACTTCATTAGCATATATTAATATTATGTAATCTCGGTAACATGGCGACAGGACCTCAGCATCTGTCGTTTGGATCTTTACAGTCTCGCAATTATCTGAACCACCTTTGAAAAACACAGGTTACACGCTGAGGGTAAGAGATCAGAGATCACTTTAATTACAAAGCGTAGTGAATTTTCTTAACTTGTCCACGTTTAAGTTTACCTTTACCTCCCCCGAAATATGATTACAAAAAAAGCCTAAGAACATGCTAGACCCACCTTGCTTTGACAAGCATTAGTACTTTTAGGCTGGCCATACGAATCACTCAGAAGACGTTCTTTAGGCTTGACTCTCGAGAATCGTGCTTTATATTGATGCAACCAACGGAGACTGGGCTTGTTGGAATTAGAGACATGCCGGTAGAAGACCACGGCTCGATGCAGCGAACAGGCACCTAAAAATAAAACAATAGTTAAACGCCCTCTTTAGCTTGCTTATTACTACAATAAAATTGCCACTTACGACACAACAGAAGACGAGAGTTCATCATAACTTGGTCATTTTGCGGCTAATACTGGCCGCCATGTTTAATTGCACGTTTCATATTAGAAACGGCAAGAAATCAGCGGTTGTTTGTAATAGCCCCAGTCTCCTTGACCAGTTTCCAATGCAATCTTTTCATCACCATGAAATCTGTTGATAAAATGGCGTCAGAACCTTCAGGCTTACTTTAGTACAGTTACTATGGGTAGAAAGAACAAAAGTGGTGTGTCTCCTCAGAATCAAGAATCATGTCATAAGCTAAATTTCTTGCATCAGGTAAGTAAATTTTTTAAGATTATTAATGTATTTTGTACCTAGCTCAAATGCTGTCCAAAGCTGAGGTTTGATATCTAACTGCTAAACAAATACACTTTAATTTTGATTTAACCACTATTTTCTCATAAAAACAAATATTTGTTCATTATTCTACAGGCTTCCCATGTAGTGCTGGCCATCAACCCAGAAAATGTGGAAATGTCAAGATTTTATGCAAGCACAATGAAATCAACAGCTCAAAAACTGGTGTTTAAATTGTATGTGTTTTAAATCAGCACTTTATTGATATAAGAATGTGGAAGGATGGTATGGAAAACCTATAGGATTATTGTTTGTGTAGGATCAACTCTATTTAATTTATACGAAATTGGGGGCTTCATTTTCCTGCAAACAAATAATGAGAATACTCACTAGTCAGATAGAAGTTGTTATTGTGATCTTAACACTAAATTCTCGTAGCTAATTTACAAGGAAATGTGTTGTATTTGGAGGGGAAGAATTAACAATCAGCTCTTGGGAGTTAAAGGGTTAACTGATTAAGAAACTTAAGGTCAACACTGGGTGAAACAGTCATGTGATGTTTTCAGTGCTGGATTCTATATTGAAAGGTTTGGGTTTTACCCCTGTCAGTGTCATACTATTGTGTCCTGACCTGCAAGACCTGACTGACTATTTCCAACAAGGAGTTTAAAGATTGTGAACTATCAGGGAAACCTTACAAAATTCTGGGCATAAGCAGGAAGTAAACTGCCATGTACAAACATCTCATCCAGGAAGAATTGCAGTTGTATTGTTTTTCTACTCCACTGAATTATTTTTTGCTTCTATTGAATGAAATTAGTTTAGTGCGAGAGATGGAAACAAAAATGTCACATGACAGATAGTTTTTTTTAACTTTAGCAGAGAGAACAGCCCTGTTACCTTATTTTATCAACCTCTTACTCAAAGTAACAATCACTTTATTTGAATATATTTGGTGTGTGTAACCAAACTGTTTCTTCTATCAGGGATCCAAGCATCAAAAGGACTATTTGCAAGCACTGTCATGCTCTTCTCATACCAGGAATTACAGCAAGAGTCAGAGTCAGACGTAAGTTGGACTAACATCTTGAGTTTCTACATGAAATGTAGAATATGTTTACCCTGTGCTTTTTTACGCAAAAAATAACCATTGATGCTTGAAGTGTTATTTTCCAAAGAAGCAGTTGTAGTGTTGTGGCAGATAAAAGTTATAGTTGCATGGAGATTTCTACTTTGATACATGTTGTTCAAAAAAACTAGATAGGCTTTAGTGTGCCATATCCAGAGTTTGATTTGACAAGATTCCATATTTCTGGACTTGTAGGTATTAAGTCTTGGTGTTCTTTTCTTCAGGGAGAAGAGAGAGACACATTGTGGTTACATGCCTGGAATGTCGGACCGTCAAAAGGTATCTCTGTAGACCTAACCATGTTTTGTTGAGTGAAAAACACAATACCACCAAGCAGCAAGATAATGACAACGATGAGGTTGTGCAAGAAAATCAAAAGGAAAGACAGGAGAAGAGTTAATGATTGTCAGTCTTGAGAAAAGGAAAAGGGGCACTCTCCATTTTTTTACTGCAAGGTTGGGGAGGATTTTCTGTCTGGAGGAGCAGAAAGATTTTTCGACCAACAAAATTGAACAAGACAAGTGTGTTCCTTCTGCATAGAGTTTACTTTTTTCCTTTTTAGAGCATACATACTCAAGTGTGCATGAACAGAAGCCAACAACTGGATAATTTATAATGGCATATGTTTCTAGTGAATAGAAGCAAACAGTAAAGTGAATTTTGCTGTTTTCCAGTCATCTTAGATGTTAGAAATGGCAATAAGCATTACATCATAAACATGTGACACATCACAAAAGTAAGAACACATCACACTTTAGTGGTCTGGCCACCCAAGATGATAGGTGGCCAGTTCCAGATGTTCTTTCTGTAAAATGAAGTGTAATAAACAACTGCACCCTTTGTTTTATTTACTGAACACTTGGAATGGGCTAGGATTTTATTGAGTATATAAGGATTCACATGACTATGAGTCAATGAAAAACCATTTGCTTGTGAGACAGCTCTGAAAAAGTAAAAGACTGTAGGATAAAATAGGATAATGAGGAAATTTCTCACCAGGCATAACTACTTTCACTGTGTGATCAACTAGTTTGTATGGATTTAGGTGTAAGGAAAGCAATTAAAATTTAAGTCAAATTTTCCTAAGAAGAAAAGAAAATAAGTTCAGATGAAAACAAAATGTTTCTTATTTTTTAGTAACAAGTGAAACATAATCCTTTGGTCTGACTGCTTCTTTTTGCTTTTGGCAATTAATTCCTAATCTTAACTTATTCTCATGATTTTCTTTCTGTCTGTCAGTCTTGCCTGATTTGTATTATTAACTAACACTCAAGGAGTTTTTTCTTCTATTTTTCGGGTTAACCTATTATTAGCAGGTGTTTACACTGTTGCATTGTAAATCGTAAAGCGAGTCACTCATTAGAAAGGTGAATAATTGTAAATATTGGGAATCAAAATGATTCTAAGGGAAATGATTTTGGAAAATTTTGTAAACAATTTGAGGCAAATCTGAAACCATTGATGCGCAACTTTGGACAAGCAGCGGTCATTTATCGGTATAGTTTAATCTATCTGAATTGTAATCATACCTTCCAGTCAAATTAAAACGTGTGTAAAGTATTTTTATGAGAGAAGCGCTAAAACGCTTTGAATAATAACTCGACGATTAGAAGATTTGCCAATAATTCTCAAGACAGCTCATGCAAACCAAATACTGTTATGTACCGGTAATATCAGGAAAAAGCATTTCTATATTCACGCCGTATCAGCTTTGAAAATCCAAATCCGAGAAAATGACAGGTTTGAATTGCTAAGATTTAAAGGCGTTCTTTGTCCAAACGGAAATAAAATCCTACCAGTAGGAGGCCTGTCAAACATGAAAAGATAATTGCCCTTGAAAAAACAGCTTGCTTGACTTGTGAATTTCTTGAATCTTTTGTATATTGTGTTGCATAGACAAAGATCAATTTTCTTATCAACATTGGCCGAATTAAAATTTTTCAATGCTTCTGTTGATCCTTTACAACGTTACTTCTTTGATTTGGTGGATCTCACCACTAGATTATTACTCGGATTCTTTGCCATCATCTTCTGATGCGTGAGAAGGCGAGATAGTTCTTGGGGTTTGATTGCCTTCCTTTGTTTCTACATTTTCCGCTGCGGCACTAGCAACGCCGTCAAATCTTGAACTCGTGGCGTCGCTGAATTCATCGCCTGACAAATCACCCTGGCTAGTATCCCCGTAGTTCATTCCGTGTACGTCAAGTGAGATATCGACATTTGTCGTCACGCTAGTTGGAAAAAAATGCGCTTGTGGGTATCCAAATGAAGTAGGATGATGACGTACCATTGGGTATAAATTATTTCTTTGAGCGAGGTTTTGCGTTCGCTGTGGGGCTGGATAGTAAGTGTTTCCATCTGGAAAATTAACTTCCGCAAATCCATGACCTCGATGAGCGTACAATGGTGTAGAAGGTGCCATCGGGTATTCTGGCGGTTGTGGTCGATGAACCCTCCTGCTCGAGTTATTTCGAATCCTCGGCGAATATCCACGCCCTTCTCTTCTTAAATGTCTAGTCCAAGCACAGCAACAGACGATAAAAATCACGCCGAAGATTCCCACATAGCATAGCGTGGTCACGATCAGGAACTTGGAATCTACCATTGTCGGGCTTCGCTGTCAACTAGGCCATGTGATACGCACAATGTTCTCTGACGAATGTTTATACTATTAAGTAACAGACGCACGTAAGGTCAATAAATCTGTCAAAGCGTTATTCTCGTAATGAAGAGTGCTAATCGACTCGTGCGAGCCAAGTTCGAGCTGAATTTTAAGTCTTCCCACTTGGGGCGTAGTAAATGATTAAAAAAGTCTCACACTCTGGCGTAGTTTCTAAACTCGTGTCAAGTACGGCAAAGCGACCTCAAAATCGTCACTTTAATTTTTCGGAGAACTTCTGATATTGTTTTAGAACGCTCTCGAATGTTTGTGCGCTGCTTCTAAGCAAGCGATCGGAAACACAGTTGAATGAATGAAATATCCTCAATAAATGAATAATAAGAGCCGACGAACACAACAAAGAAATGTCAGCGGAACCGAGATAACACTTATCGATAGGGGCAGGAAGGGTGGGTCAGTATTGACCGTGCCATGGATCTATTAAAGTGTCATTAAACTGAACAGTTTCTTTTTTCAAAAAATATAATGATTTAAAGCATCTGAATTTTAATAAATATATATAACACAGTTCTTACAACTACAACCTTGATAAGTACTGGAAAGTCACCGAACACACAGTCACAATGACAATCCCACTCTCTTTAGTATAATATCAGTTCACACCAAGAAACTTAGCCACTTTTCACTCAGTAGATGCGTTACTAAGGTACTATGCTTTCCTAAAGGATTTTACCTATGGACATAAGACCGATCACAGTCATAAATCGACTCTCTGCTTTTGCTTGAACGTTTTATACTGACGTGCACATGTACAGTTAGCATGCCGCTCGCCCCTTTAAAAGTTCAGTTTATACGACAATGTTTAACTAAAAATCCAAAATTACGGTACAAATATTTTCCCGATACGAACGACTACGGGTGTTGAAACCCAAAAATAATACTATGAAACTACGAATCTGCTATAGCTAAGGTCCAGCCCAGCTAACCAGATCTATACATGTTCATATACGCGCTCACCTGGTGAGCTACTGCAATTGAAAAGTTTTGTTTTAAGCAACACACACTCTTTGCAGAAGAAGTATACATTATGTCATATAGATTTTATATTATACTATAAAAAGGGAGATCTTTGTAAATGCACGTGATGCCATATACTATGATGGGCAAAACAAATCAAACCAGCGAAATTGATTATATATTTTCAACCGGAAATATATTTGAGAGCCCATACAAATGAAAATATTTACGAGACAAAATCTGCCGTAACTCGCCGAGCGCACTCTCGTTCGGAGACAACCACAGTATCTTCTTTATTGAGAGTGGAAAACGACGCCTGAAGATTTTATGGATCCTCGTTATGAACTAGCGAATCTATGATAAAAATGGAAATTAACCCTTAAACTCCCAAGATCTCATTAGTAATTCTCCTTACTGTCTGCCATATAGTTCTTGTGATGTTAGTTTGGAGAATCTACCATTGGATCAACTAATAATCCCCTAATTACTGTTTTTCGTTATTCTCATCACTAGTCTGCTTGATATTGAATTGATACTGTGAGGAGAAATTCTGTCTTGGTCACTTGTGGGAGTGAAAAGGTTAACGAAGATCAACACCAGCAACAAACGTAAGTCATAGTTAACGTAGACCCACGAGCAGTCCCTCCTTTCCGGCAAAGACTATTTTGCTAGCGCAAAAGACTTCGCTGAAAAAGGGGGAATACGCATGGTCTATAATTTGAAGCAATATCTTAGCAACTTTTTTTCGTATCCGGTTTTTTTTGCGGTAATTGATTTTTCTCAATTTTTACCTCTACTTCCTCACTTTTTGCCCTTTTTTCCTTTATTATTTTTTCCTTTCTTGCTTTTACCGCCGCGCCTTGAGTCGTCATCGTCATCATCATCATCATCGTCATCGTCATCATCATCGTCATCATCGTCGTCATCGTCGTCATCATCATCATCGTCGTCGTCGTCATCATCGTCATCATTATCGTCATCGTCATCGTCATCTTCGCTATCTTCAGTCCTCTTACTAGGCGCCTTATTTTCCGTTCGTGAAGAAGTCGAAGCGCTGGCTTTTTCTTCGCTCTCTCGTTGTTCTTTCTTCTCCAAAAGGCGATACCACGCCTTTTTGATGGCCAGCATCTTCCATGACTGGTAGATTCCCCACTTGTTGACTTCCAACAGGGCGAATCGCATTCTTCCAACTCCTTCCACATATTGAGGTATGCAAACGTTGGGGTGTCTGTGTTTAACGAACACACGTCGATGATCTTGAAGGTAATACCGAATAACTTTGTTTACGTCTTGTTCAATGGCATCCTGTTCTTCATTCCGCTGGAGAGAAAAATAGAAATGAAAATTGTAATGAAAAAAGTTCAAATTAATCTGAAACAAGCATTCATGTTTCCTACAGGCATAACAGTCTTTTATAAATTGGGTAAAAACACAAAGACGAAAAAGGAGGAGAGAATTTGGGTTCATCATAGCCATAACTTTAACCGTCAAGTCACGCTTTTCAAGCATTTTGTTACGTTCTCACATTGTCACGTAAATGTTCCTCAAGCATTTCGGGCAATCTTCCCGACGGCTGGGACGAGTGCTAAGAGTGCTGGAAAGGAAGTGGGGAAACATGGAAATATGCCACGATGAATGAGAAATTCCTCCCTTGTTTTCCTAATCCTTTCCCTCCTCCTTTTGGAAGAAATAACCTGAACAGAGTATTATCGATAAAAACTGAAAGAGGATTAGGATAGATAATTAAGGCTAATTGGATGGATGAAGAAAGATAAGGAAATATTTTCAAACGTTTAACAATTAAAAAGGCTGAGAAATGGTAACATTTACTTCACTCTGTAAATTTTTAAAAAATGATTGCAGTTCAATGTCCATACTAGTTTAAAAAGGAAGCGTTTAAAAATCCTTCAAATTTAAGGTTTCTTCCATAAACTTAGTAACATTCAACCCTTTTACTACAGGACGTGATTGGGATTACTGTTACTGTTTACTATTCATTACTAATACATTATAATACATTATCAATTTATTTCCTGAAACTTAAATCACCACAGTTAATAATGACGATATGGATGAAGTCATCAGTATTAACACAATAAATTTAACAATGTTACTTGATAATCATATAAATTTACTGATCACTTAACGATCCTGGGTTACTTGCGGAAATGGCAAGCCGTCATGACAATTGTTATAGTTATCAATGTTGCAAGTACAAATAAATGAAATAAAAGGTTTAGTGTTAATGAGTAGATCCTGCATCTGACCCCTTGAAACACCTGTAAGATTGGTAAAAGACTAAAAATTTTTCTCACTTCAGAAAATCTAATATTGAACTGTTTGGATGAGACTTATGCTTCAGAAAAAATCTTAAGGTGAAATTTACTTGCTTCCTTGAAAAGTTCTCAATTCTTGTTTTTTTTAACGAAAAACTCGTTGATAACCTTACTAGTTCAAAATGTCTTGAAAACAGTTTTAAAACACATTTTTATTGATTGAAAGTCACATTCTTAATATATATATATATCTGATATATTTTAAATTTATGACTTGCCAAGTACTCTCCACATGAAGTGGTTCGTTCAGCCTCACTTCAATGTTTAAACTTGTTTTGAATATGTAATTGCGTTCGTTTCGATTTTCCTTCACATTTATTAACTCCTTAAGATATTATTTTACCGGTCCAAAGTTCATTGCATTACCGATACTTTTACAGACAAACATGAGTAAAAACTTTCAAGATTCTTTCTAGTTTTATAGGAAACTGATGGAGAGATCAGTATTTCTCGCTTGAAATTAAAAGACAAACTTTCAGCCGATTAATTCCACAAGTTTACAAATTATGACAGCCTGTCTTGCACTGGACGTCAATTAATACTTTAAGCCAAATATCAGCTATACTAAATCGTAGCTTACGTGTAGCCATACCCTCCCCCGCTGGAGGAAACCTTCCGTTTCTGCTTAGGGGGAGGGTACGGCTACAAGTAGGCTTCTAAATTGCGGCCCTGAAGTTGCTTCAGTCGGTGCTGCTTATAATTAATCTCTTTCGAAGTTTTAAGCACCGAGGAAGGTCAAGCAATATTATAACGAAAACACCGAAGTTTAGACGAATCAGTTGCATTAAGTCATTTTCGGATTAAAATGAGATAAAAAATACGAAGCTCAATTGGCAAAAAAAATTTTTGCTAGCTAATCAAACCAAAAAAAAGTCACCATTTAGAAACTTGACCGTTAAACTTCGTTTTAATGAACAACATGCAGAAGTGTTTCTTTTTAAACTGTAGATACTAGTGCGCTATAGTTTCTATTCCTTTTATGCCACATTTTATGGTAATCAATATATTTTAGCTGAATTATTCATTTTATCGCCTTAAACGCAGAACTCTCGAGTTATTAAAATTCTGATCACGTTTAAAAGAACGTCAGCTTAATTTTTTTTGTTTCAATGTTGAGAAAACATGGAAAGAAGATAGAAAAACAAAAATGCACAAATTTGCATTGACTTCGTGGCGACATACTGGAATTGATCTGCTGTAACTGCTCCTTGAGTTCCTCAATAGAATCACCTCGCTGCAGATTTCAAACCTCAGTTAGTAAAAACACAAACATTACTGTACGTATATATGAGATTCTGGAGAGTAACGTGAAACTGAATTTCACGTTGGCAGAGACGCAAACTTTCAGTGGGAAAATCTGGTCACTATCACAGAGACGAAAATAACTTCTACGAATAAAGACATGTTGAAAGTAATCGGGAATTGTATTGGTCAAGTGAAACAACGATGCGAACTGAAACAAATTATAGAAAACAGCATGGATCCATTTAAACATTGTTATTAACTCTGGGTCAATTTTTATACAACAAGTGTAGGTTTTTGCTTGACTGAAGTTTTCCTGACTAACATTGTGCGACATTATCTTGTCACGCAGCCACGCCTACAAATAAAATCAAAAGCTGCTAAGCTGCTAATTAATAACTATTTCGAACCCTGAAAAGGCACGCGTGACTACCAATACTGTAACTTCTTCATCAGAGACGCTGACAGACAAGAAATTAAATCTTTCCTAATGCAGATGAAACCCCCTTCCCAGCTCTATCGTGCTGGGAAGCTCCCTGTTCAAGTGCTAAGAGAAACAACTGTACAGAGTACAACCTGTTATAATAGCAATTGTTGCCATGGAAAGCAACGTTACGACTAATTAACCAGCTGATAAAAAAGTTAATAAATTTAAAGGCTAAGATCTAATTTTCAACTGAGTTCTCTACCAGAAAATAAACCCAGCATAGTTGAAAAATGAGACATTTAGTTGTAAGTGGTCTTATCATTTTCTACGAACAAAATCTCAATGGCAATCGAAAATGACGAATCACCAATCAAAATCAATTGACTTTAAAGTGACGTTTTATCCTCAACCAATCAGCTTTTAACTGGAACTACCGTGCGTAGCATATGAGCAGTAGAATTTCCCGCGCTTTTTATTGGCAACTAGCCTCCGTTTCCAAAGACATTTCATCGTTGTACCATTTTAACAATCGCAGTGCGAACCATTCTGTCCATGGTGAAAATCTGATTCAATATCTGCCTCCAAACCTGATCTCACAGCGTACGAAACTCGCTACTGAGTCTGTACCACTTTTACTCTTACTCGTTCCCAATATAACACATCTCGCAAATCTCAACATGTCATTTCACAGGGTAGACGACACTCCGTGGTAGCAACATATTGACGTGAAAACTATCAATGGTCCTCGTGTTATTTCCGACTGATATCGGAGCTCGTCGGTTTTCAATTGGAACATCGTCGAAAAAACACCATTTCCTCCATTGCACAAGAGCAAAAACCTTTTCCAGGGCCTCACCTCAAGAATCCTCGGTGTTTACCGGCTACATGGTCATACTATAAGGGAATACTCGTGAGTTATAAACATTCTCAAAATCACCCAAACATTCCAGTTTACAACTAAACTCACCGTTTGAGCCTCTGATTGTATTTTTTGTGTCAAGACTGTACGTAAGGTCTCAACTGTATTTTCCAGTTTGGCTACTTGAGAAGAAGTCTGGAAAGAAAAGACAAAAAGCTTGAACTGAGTCTCTTTCGATCTTTTTAGGATCTTTTAGCCCTTTCACTCCGAAATTACCCTGAGGTTACCCTGGTTACCCCGAAGTGATCAACATTTAATTTCTCCTCGCAATTTCAACACACTGTCTCACAAAGAGGTCATGAGAATTCGCAAGCTTATCAGCTGGAGAGTGCTATCTAAATATAACACCGATTCTCCTCTCAGAAGGGAGAATAACTAGTCCTGGTGGTTAAACGAAGAGAAGCGAAAGGGAAATGAAGAGAATCTTATTTGCGAGTTTCTCTCTGTGCCCACAGAAGTGTATCCAGCGAGCTGGCCCTCATTACTACGATTACAGCACGTGCATCTCCTCGCCTGCGAGAGAGTCTGAGGCCTTGAGTAAAGCAAGCCGTCGAGAGGGTTGCGAAGGGTCTGGCACTTATAATTGAGGCTCATATCGCAGCGCTATCAAGAGCCTGCGAGGGGTCTGACATTAACAATGAGGTTTGTATCACGGTGCTATTGAAAGCCAGCTCTCAGGCCAACATAAGTGTGACTGGAGAAAGCCGTATATCCCATGACATCTCCCAGTGGCACCTCACCTGTTGCACTTCTTCCTCCAGTTTCTGCACCTTATTTCGTAAGTCTGCGGTGTCCTCAGGCTCCTCTGTCGCCGCCCGCGGCGACGGCGTCGGCGTTGGTGCCGGCTCCGGCTCAGGCTCCGTCTCCCGAACAAATGGAGGAGGCGGTTGCCTGAAGAAAAAGAGTGGCACGAACATGACAAAAATATTACATGACAGAGAAAAGGGAAAAACAGAGTGTTTTAAAAACTCTGCTGTAAAACCATAACAACAGTGTTGGATAAAACAGAAGTCCTATTTCTTCTCCTAAAAAAAAAATTTGTGTCACAAGGATAAAAATTCAAGAACGTTCATTGAATACTATATTGCGGTATAATATTTACTGTGGTCTCATGAGGTCTTTCTTTTTCACTGTAACAGTCAAAAACGAAACCCTCGCGGTCCACATAACCGGAACTCTCCTAGCTTCCAAATTCGTGATGACGAGACTGAATCTCCCTGGATACGATACTAGTGCACCACAGGTTACCGTCTTCCCATTGAGAGACACCTGGTTCACCACAGGTTACCCACCACCTCCGTACAGAAAACAGTATGAAGAAAATGTATACTGATGTTGGGGTGACTGTCCTGAGTTACAAGGTTTTAATATATCTTACTCTGCTGCCTTTCTCCTCTCTTCTTCCTCCTTGGCCTCCAGATCAGCTTTCAGTCCTGCAATCTGTCTTTGGAGGAGAGCAATCTGAAACATAACATAAAAATGTTGCCCAATTCTAGTCAATTAATAGTATAAAAGAGCAATATACAGGTCATGTATTGTGAACAAAGGAGAACTTATATATCACAAAATGAATATCCTTACTGAGTCAATACGCTACAATGTTTTTGTTATTTAAAGCAAAGACATCAATATCAACACAATTAGAAAATCCCAGGAGATTCCATCTGTATCAAGTGATAATGGTATACCTGTTAACCTTTCAAGGTTCAAACCAAGAAATGTGCTCGTGGTTGTTTTTTGTTACAGAAGGCAGAGAATTGTGAGAGGTGTGCTTTTGTTTTAATCTCCTCCAGAGTAGACTTCAATCATTATTCCATAGTTTATTTCTTCACTTGAACTGTGTGAAACCTCATTGACATTTACAAAGTTTTTTCATAGTTAGAAGCATGGCATAACAACTCATACTATGACTGGCCAGAGAAACCAAAAAGAGCTAAGCACATATAGGTCAATATTCCTGATGAATTATTTCCAGAAACTAAAAGGAGCTGATTAATATTAAATATATTAGTAATTATTGATTATACCTCATCAGGAAGTGGCCTAAGCTTGTTTTGTAATTCTCTAAACTGCTCATCAGTGTCCTGGCGCCAACTGGCCATCTGACTTATGCTTCTGTCTCGATCATCTTTGTCTAATTTACCATGCTACAAGTAGAAAAAAAAATGCCAGACAAATATAGGTTAGAGGAAACCAGTCCACAATAAAATTTCAGTTTTTGCAGTTTTATTTTTTCAAATGATAGCTGCTTATTAAAAGACCTTCAGACAACAAAGCTTGTTTGTTTTATTAATATGAACACCCATAAAAGGCAATATAAAACTTATTACAATAATGGTACTCTCAATACAAGTGTATGCAAGAGCCATGTGACCCTTGATGACCTTAAAATTATTATACTGCTTTATGTCTCTAAGAGAAAAAAGATCTGTAAACTCAACCCATAAATTTCAGAAAATAGATCAACATGCTTCCAAGTTTTTCAGTCCGTAGATCTTAGAAAGTTTAATGGTTTCATAACTACAGTGTTCTTGATTGCAGCACAAAGAAAATAAATTTACTGAGACAATTACTTACTGATAGGTAGCTACTCATTTCTTGCTTTAAGATATAATAGTTCCACGATTTTGAAAAATTTAGAGGTCAGTACGAGTGTGTTTAGGATTTTATCACTTATTAGGAGTTAGTCATTAAGAAATTTAACAACTTACGTCAGTTTACATTTCTTAATTTATAGCTTTGCATCACACAGCAGTTATATCACTTTGTTTTGTTTTGCTTTGTTTTGTTTTTAATCAGATTAAATTTTATATTACATTAACTCCATCCATTCATGTCAACTTAAGTTTTAATCTTAGTATAATTGACAAATATTTCATGAGCATGGGCTGGATATAAGATGGTAAATAGCCAACCAGGTGCATACCATAGAGCTGGCTATTAAATCAGTCTTGTATCCAACAAGCATGAATCTTGAACACTCGGATATTTGGAGCTTTTGTCAGCAATGCAACCATTGGTGTAATGTGTTTCCATTTAAGGTGACTCAGAGTATGAGAAGTGATAATGGGAGATGAGTGAACCAATCATTTAACACCACTAGGTATTTAATATTGATTTTGGAGTTTAAAAATTTAACAAAACCTGGTATTGTTCAAACAGGTTGATTATCTTGTGGTTACTAGTAAAACTTTACAACAGATTATGTTCACCTCTTTTTTTTGAGAATCCACTTTTTTAATCCGCTGTAACAACAATGCATTCGATACAAACAAGTTCAAAGTTAGTTGGTACAAAAGATTGAGTAAAATTTTTAAAAACTTTACACTTATATTTAAGACAAATTATGCCTGGTGGATAAAAAACCTCTTTATTGTACAATAACAAAATATTTTAAAACATCTAACAATAATAATCATAAATTTTGACTTCCTATTAAAAGAAAACAGTCATTCTATAAACTTTAAGTTAAGTTTATATCTCTTTCTACCTATAAAAGTTAGTTATCTATAGACCAATTGACTTTTGTCTGTCCACCTTGACAGTTAAAATCACTTTTATCACTTAATATCAATACCACTCCATAGAGGTTGACATCAAATTAATTACAAAACCATCAACATTGCCATCTGTCGACAGTTAAGGGTTATTGATACTAATAATTTTAAAAGAGAATTATTATATTCAATAGCTTGTTGGGTTTGGGAATGAAAAAAAATCCTCTCACCTTTTCCAGTTTGCTGAGAACATCTTCCATCTCTCCTACTCGCTTGTTCAACTTGGCAAGTCTTGTGTCCATGTCTGCTAATCCCTTGACCCCTGTGTTGCTGTTCTTGTCCATCATGCTGATCAATTCTTCTTTTGCCTGGAAAACAACAGAAAGTCACGTATCAGATCAAAGTGCTCCAAAAATAAAGGACTTGTCACTAGCATGTACATTTAGTGAGGCAAACACAAAACTGATCTTTAAACACTTAAACTCCTATGAACAACCAAGACAGAATTTCTCTTTACAATATCAATACACTATCAAGCAGTCACAGGTGGTGAGAATAAAGAAAAATATCAATTAGGTGATTATTAGTTGGTTCAATACCAAATTCTCCAAACTAATATCATAAGAATTGTGTTGCAGACCATAAGGAGAATTACTATTGGTTATAAAATAGAGATCTTGGAAGCAAAAGGGTTAAGGAGAGTTAAATACTCACCTTAGAAACACTGTCTGAGACTTGTGAGTTGACTCCACCCACTGCTTGTTGTAAAGTGCTGATGGCCATGTTTAGTTTGTCCTGTAGCTGATTACATCTGATGGATAGTTTCTCACTTTGTGATTGCCTGTAAATTAATGAAAGGAACATAAATCAGAAATGAACCAACAGATTATTGTTAATACTTAACTATGGAAAAGACAATTTAATATACTTGATAGCCAAACCAACCAAGACAAGTGCTGTGTCAAATGAAAGATTAAAAAAATTTATAATTATGAAAGTTCTGTGGTTAAAAAAATAAATTTCAAGTCAAAATCAATTTTAACTAGTTGGTTTTCATCTTTTTCTTAATTTGTACCCAGCATAGTACTAAAACCCTGAACAGGAAAATAAATACAAATCAGACTTGAGCTTAACATCATTTTATCTTAAAAACCATTTTGCAATAGTATCTAAATTATACAAAAGCAAAGTAAATTTGCTGACAGAATTCTCATCAAAAAGGTGTCAATGCAATATGGTAACTAATGATAGGTAAGGACCAAAAATTACAATTATAGTTATAAATAAAATTAGCCTGCTAAAGGATTTTAAGCAGTTACTCACTATGCACCATTGTATTTCTACCATTTTGTTTTACAGGATTTTCTTCAATAATTTAACTGCCCAACATTCCCCTCCTCCCCTTCAAAGACATTTAATTATCCCATCCCTGAAGGAAAATATATAAAAAAAAACACAAATTACTGATTATTCAACGCATAGTGACCTTGATGTGATTTCAGCATGTAACACTTGTTCTATTGCCTTCCTTCCTTCCTCCATTTGTCTTTCAAGTAACGTTATAGACTCATTAAGTCGCACAAGACTCTGGTCAGTCCTTGCCTGTGCAACCTGGGTAGAAAACATTGGGTTACTTTAAAATATAAATCCCATACACAAATAGTGTCTTGCTCTTATTGTAAGATTACAAAAAGTAAATAGTAAGCTAAGGGAATAATTACAAGCAGTTGCCTGATATCCATAACATTTTATAATTGTAATTGTAATATTAACACATCTATCATAAAAAGTTAAATTAAATCAATACATCTTCCTTGTTTCCTTTAACACTTAAAAGGTTCATGTTTAACTTGAACAAGACTGCTTCATTACTTTCCCCTTCTCTTTCACTTATGTTTCTATAAAGCAGAGTGAAAAGTTTTGATTTGGTGTGAGAGCTAAAACTGTACCAAGGTTAAGAACTTTAAATGAGGAAGCAGTTACCTGCTGAGCCTGTCTAGACGATTGTGCTTCTTCGTCGATGTAAGCTTTGAGTGACTGCCAACGTCTCTCCATCTCCTCTCGCTGTGCCTTCTCAAACACAAGCCTGGCAGCTTGTTCCTCTCGTAATTTCTTGAAAATGTAAAGTAAGAGATTTCAATTTGATGATTAAGAGCTTGGAGATACTCCGGAACTAATAAAAATGGAAAAAATTTAACAAAATCGTCAATTCTGCCAAGCTGATTGCATATGAACGAATTTGAGTAAAAATTAGCCAAAACTGTCAAATTCTTAAATTTCACTTGGTTTGATGGAAAATTTTCAAATCTGCCATTTTTGTTACTACATGCATTTTTGGACAGAAGTGTGACGTAGATAACTGTTAGTAATGATGTCTAATACAAACTCTTTGGAAGCCTTATGATGAGATTTTTAGTTAAAATAGTAAACCTTTTTGCTCTCAAGATCTCCTTATTAATTCTCCTTACTATTTACCAGACAGTTCTTCAGAAGTAATTCTGCAGAATTTAGATTTGGATCAAGTCATAATCCTATAATTTATATTTTCCTTTACTCCCATAACTTTAATTAATTGTCTACCTGATATGGTATTTATATTGTGAGGAGAAATTCTCTCTTGGTCACTTGAATCGAAAGTAAAGTGTTTTAAACAATGTAAAACTCTTACACTGCTCACCTTTTCTAACAAAGTAAACTTTGACTGAGCATCTTCTCTTAGTCTTATTTCTTTCTGTAACATCTTTTTACTCTGCTCATCTGAAAGTTCTGCCAGTTTACTGGCGATCATGCTTCTTTCATTCTCAAGAAGGTCCTCCTTCTCCTTGGAATTCATGGACTGTGCATATAACTCTTGTTCTCTCTGATGATGACTTTCCTGCACAACAGCTCTCAACTGCTCTATACTGAAATTTAAAATAAAAACATAATTTATAGCATTATTTGAAACTGAAACAATTAAAACTGATCTTGAATAGATGTACACTGCTTGATTCCTCAGCTGTTTTGTGCTGAGAGGAAATAAAATGAAAGCCATGTAATCATATGTCACATATAGTTCTTTATCAAAAACAGTTTTACAAATTTGTCAGTCAAGAAACTTGTGATCCCCACCTGAGCTGGTTCTGCTGACTAGCTGCCCTTCTCTCCCCTTCCTCAGCTTCAATGCGTCTCCTCAATTCACTGGTTATCTCTTTTATGTCAGCTAATCTATACCACAGAATGGAAATGATTCATTTGAGTCACCACTGCTGCAGCAAAAATAGCTGTTCAATATTCAAGTTATCATTTAATGTTCCATTAATAGCTTCAACAAAAATTTAATCTCAAACATGACTATAAACCACATGCACACCCTGATTGTGAGCTAAGTCAACCAGTTAATAATTAACATCAATAATAATTTAACATTTGAAATTTGTAGGCATCAGAGTGAAAATCTGATCATGATTTACAATACCTTGCTTCCACAATACTCTTGAACTGAAGTGAATTGGCTTCTTTAGTGTTCTGATCATCATGTTGTTTCTTCAAAGAAGACATCTGTTGAAGGAAGAAATTTTGAGACACCAAACACAATAAGGAAAAAAAGCAGGCATTCTGATTTACATTCATTTATGTTCCAAGCAGTACAGTGACAATCCTATCAACTGCATTTTTTACTAGACTACAACTATCATAGTTTACAAATTAAAGTAATGTAACATGAGGATAGGGCCACAAAATTGCTTTAACTTAACCCTTTTCCTCTCAAGAATGACCGAAGAAGATTTTATCCTAATGGCTTAAAGTACTAATACATTTTTGAGCAGAGGGGTGATGAGAAGAAAAAAAAGATATAAATTGAAGGATATTGTTTGATTAAGCACCAAAATCTCAAATGAAAATTCATCAAAAATGGATGAAGGAAAGTGCAAAGAATTGGAATTTTGATCTTGAGAGTGAAATGGTTATCAAATAAATGGAAGGAAAGGTAGTCACTGGTACTGACTGAATGATAACTAATTTTGAAGTTTTCTTGATCTGATATGTTGCTTTAACATATCAAAGATTGAATTACCTAGGAGAACTTTCCAAAAAAGAATTTAAGGCATTACTAGAAATAATATTTGCAGTAATAACTAAAAAATTTGTGACTGTGCGTATATATTGTACAAAAAAGAAAATATTAAGACCTCATGTAGAGACAATAAATCAAAGCTCTTTTGTAAGACGCTCATCTTACAAGGTTTAACAAAAGTATGTGCATTGACATATAATTATGTAATTGTGAAGGGGTTAAGAGGGGCAGGAGACAGAACCAGGAGGGGTGGAGAAGACAGGAAAGGAAAGGACAGTGAGTGGAAATGAGTTGAAATTGGTTAATCATTGACCTATAGTGTTTCTTGATTAAATGGTATTTGGGAAGGGGGGAAGGGGAAGACAGTGGGAGGAAAGAGAGGGAGAGGGCTGAGTGAGATTGTCACCCCTTGTCCACTCTATAAAATTGTATCAAATGAAAGCACTTACTGCACTGTTTGTGTCTCCCTCAATTTTTTTCATCCTTTGTCTTATTTCTTGTACTAGAGTACCAAACTGTACTGTCTGCACTTCATGTTTGCTCTTCATTGTTCTCACGTCATCAATTAGAGCTCTCATATTTTTCTGTAATTGTTCTTGGCTTTCTCTCACGTCTTCCATGTCATCTTTGACTCGTTCCACATGAACATGAAGCTGTTCTCGTCGACTCAGTAACTGCTGTTGATTTCCTAATAAAGCTTGTTCCATCTGCTTGGTGTGGTTAACAAGAGTCCCTACTGTGTTGTGCTCTGATTCAAGTTTTTCTTCAGCACGTGCAACCCTCATCATCATTTGAGTGTACAAATTATTCGCTGATCTAATTTTTTCTGACAGAACAAGCCTCTCTTCCCTTTCCTCCCTCAAAGTGTCTTCATTACGTCGTATACTTCCTTTCAGTTCTCCTTGTAAACGAACAAGTTCCTCTAATAATGCCTTATTTGACTGATCAGTCACATTCAGTCGTCCTTCAAGATGTCTTAGACGGCCGCCCTCATGTGCCGGACTGTTATTCCTACGCACTCCCTTTTCTGAAGCATCTGTTATAGCTGGTAAGGGATGACTGTGGGCACCAACAGTTGGTCTGTAAAAAATATAAATTAGAGAATATTTGTAAAGGAAGGTGTCAAGAGCTCAACCTTTTTACATGATTGTATGTATATAAAAAAAAAAACAACAATTTAAACTGCCCCTTTGGAACCAACACATATTCTGCAGCAATGACCAACAAACAAATTTTGTAGTTTGATACAGTCGAAACTCTGGGCTGAATTTTCTGGATAGTCAAGAGTCTGGATAATCAAAAATATGAATATCATTAAGCTTAAAATAAAACTGGATTGTAAGGCACATTCTCAACTCATTCTGCATAACTGTTAATGTTTGCCAAAATAATTCACAAAAAAATTATTTAAGTTAACCAACAATGTTTTACATAAACCTAAGATGCTGATATAAATTCTAATTCTATCAGCCTCTGAAGCTGCATTAGTGGAAAAGCATCAACACTGTTTTGTCTTTCCACGTTGGAAAAAAGTTGTTGCAGATCTCAAATGCAACTACTGTAATATTCACCAAAAAAAATGGAACCAGAGAAGCAAGTAAAGATAATCGAGGTCTGGATAATCAAGGTTTGACTGTACTCGTACTTGAGTTTTTGAGTCCAGCACTTCATAGAATTGCCTCAGAAAAACATATATTTGCATGTTGCTCAAGATATATTATCAATGATGAAAGCGTTCAGGCTTGAAGTTCACAGATCAAAGTATATGTCGGAAGATTATCAAAATTATAAGCTTTTCCATGTTGACTTTGTCCACGGTGAAATGAACTAGTCTGAGATCAAGGTTTTTCTTCCTAAGGACTTTCTACCTAAAACAAATTAACATCATGACTATTTTGATCTGCTAAAATTCATAAGCTTGGAGGATTTTCCAGCATTAGAGCTTGTGATAACGATAAACTTCTTCCATCTAATGCTTCCGCGATAAATAAAAAAATCACTTCATTTGGTCAAAATTATTTTTATTTCGACTGTTATGACAAAAGAGGCTTCTAATTCTGCCGTGCTCACGATTACGCATACTAACTGGGCAACTTCTAGGGAGTTTTATCATCCTTAATGGCACCTAATTCAAGAGATCTCTAGTGCTCTTTGAATTTCACTTAAAAGCTTCAAAACTAAATTAAACAGAAAATTATTTTCATAAACAACAAGACAAATAAATTTTCGATGTCCAGTGCGATCGAGCAAGAGTTTAACTCTCAATTAAGAGAGATCGGTATTTATGAGAAAGTTATTAACGTATTTAACACAAGGCAAGGAAAAGGAAAATTACCTCAAATCCATCTTAACTCTGAAGCTAAATAGCTTTCCGTAACTTTTCGTGAAACATAACCATTAATTTTACGATATTAGAAGGTAATAAAGCTCTTTAGTGTGTTGCACATCCAATACGCCGCCATGTTTGTTTGCATACACATAACGTTTGCTGATTGGCTCCCGAGGTCGGTTACCCTCGAGACCAAGATTTGTTTGGCGGCGAAGAAAAGCTACCCACGAAAAGATTTTAAAAAATCTCGGTTAGAAATATCGAGTTTGCCTATAGGAGCTATTTTAATGCACCTTAAAGATTTTCCGATTAAAAATGTCACATTAACAAAAAGAAATTAGGGTTTTTTTTGGCCCGAATTCGATTAAAAACCTATGCATCCGTTCAATGAAGATTTTAAATAAAGTCGAATATCTCATTAATTATTAACAAGTGGGACACAAATTGAATTATATCAAGATATTCACGTCTGAAACCTTTCTTTCCGAGAAATACTCGAAAGTTCGGCTGAGCGGATCACTCAGATGAAATTCATGCGAAATATATGTCTTGGCGTTGGCAACCATTCATTGATTTCATACTAATTACTTGTTACACATTTTGTAGGGATGCGTTCAAAATAAGAGGCTTTTTTTCTACCTTTAATGACAGGTGATAATTTTGAACTTTTAGAGTGTTCTATTATTTAAGAATTTCACGTCGCGTGGTATTGACCAAATGTGAGCTTAGCAGTTATTTTCCTTGGCAAAAAAACAATTTCAAGATGGATCGGAGATGGATCAGTCGCAAGTGTGGTGAGCCTGTACTCGAAAAAAAGTCAGAAAGGCAAGCGGGCTTGCCGCGAGTTTCCCAAGCCTCCAGAGTTTTTCGCTTGCTTTCTTTCTTACGCCGCGATGGTCTTCGCTGACCGAGGAACAGCCGATGGTATTATGGAGATATATATATATATATATGTATATCAGATATATATATATATATATCAGAGGGATATTTCTAAGAAAGGATATTGTACACTGCAGTGAAAACATGTCTCGTGTTAGTCTATGTTCGTCTCTGCAGTTTGCCTTCCGAACCCCTGTGTCCACAACTATGAGAAAATTACATGATGCGCTCTTGGTGTCCAATTTCTTGCATCCGTACTATCATTAAGACAAATACAAGGAGTGGGCAAGTTTTCAGGTGTCACATTCAGCAGAAGTTCTTCGATTTGGAACGACGTCCAAATTCTCAAATTGCTATCGGTTCGTTTAATTATTAGTTTTCAGAGGACCTTACCCTCTCGTGACTCTTCTAAGATATTCTGATTATACTCCCACTAAATTTATCATCCCACAAGTATGAGGAGGTGTTGACCGATAAATTTCCGTAAATTTAATGGTTAATTCTATCAGAAAAATTGGCATTTACAGTTGAAACCAGCCAAAGTGTTAACCTTTTCAACTACGCAGACAGTTTTAATAGGTTGTATTTTTATAAAATCAATAGTATCTCCAGATTTAATTTTTTTCATTTCTAAGGCTGTTTGAAATAGACGGATTACTCGAAAACTTGCATGCAGACTTGAAACATGGAGGAAAAAAATGAGACAACCTGATTAGGACGACTTTAATTCATGGCTAAAATTCAGTTGCCTCTAAGTAGCAGTCAGGATAAGCCAGATTGTATAACTTGATGTTTCTTCGGTCCAGCGATCTGATAGTGCGAATGGTCCATAATGTTATTGCAAAATTATCTTATTATGAGCTTTTTTCTATCAATGTGCAGCGCTATAGATTCCCCGTGGGTTCACTTAGATGACTCAAAACCCTACACCGCCGGGAATCTATTTTCTTTTTTCCTATTTTATCAAAACATGTTTTTTTTTACCGCAAAAATCTATGCGAGAAAAAGTGGATTCACATACACGATACTCTACACTGACGGAAATTGTCTTCCTTTTTCTTTCTTTCTTGCTTCAACCAAGATACTTTTTGTTATTTTAAAACCAATTCGAGAAAAAAGTGTTTTAAACCGAGACAAAAACCTCAATCGAAATTATCACCTCAAAACTCAACATCTGGCCACGCAACAATAAAACGTCTGCCCAAACGAAAGGCGGAAGCTTTGACAATGTCGTTGTACAGCTTCCTACGCAGAGGCATTGTGTAGCATGAAAATGCGACACAATAATGGAAAAGAATTTTGTGTGTTTAAATTTCTGCCGGTTTTGCAAATTGACCTTAAAACCGCAGAAACATATTCCCTACGAAAAATACAAAATAAAAAAATCATAAAATATGACGCCGAAAAAAAACAATTTTCTACATGAAAATATATAGACCCCAGGAACTTAGACAGGGGGTATAGGGGTACTACACTATTTGTCTGATTATGTTGTTGTGTCAGCTTCTTCAGTCGGGAGTTTATTAGCTTTTGGAGATTTAACATAATTAAGTGAAATGTAACCAATAAGTTTAATGTGCTGTAGCTCACTGTAATAATAAAAGGTTAAGAATTTCTGTTTGCATCCCTGTTAACGCCGTGAGGTTTTGAAGTTTGACATAAAATTACGATCTAAATTAATTCTCCGTGGCAATTTCATTCATCTCAAACTGCAAAAACTTGCACCCGCAGCGGAACAAAAAATCGACAATCAGCCAATTATTAAAAGGTTTAGTTTTCTTCAGTTGCAAAATGCCGTGGGTCTCGATTCCAAGAACCCGTTTTTCTGATCAAAACTGAAGACGGCACATCTTGTGCCATTTATATTCTACGTGAAATATGGCTCGTTCAATTACTGGCTCTTAAGTTAGCCTGCCTAATGTTATCGATTAGTCAAGTGCGGGATTCTTCAGCATGAATTTCCTCATGGCGTCACACATATTCCTCATCAAAAGATTTTCCTAACTGTTCAATTCAATAACATCTACCGACTCCTCCAATTACTTTTTTGAAATGAATTCGCTCAGTTTAATCAGTATATTTTTGTTGTGACATTCATCCGACAGGGATTACTTTTCAAAGCAGATTATTTGGACAGCTTATGACAAGTTGAAGTTGTCCACTACCAGCAGCGAATCAAGGTCATTGAAACAAATTGGGATTTGTATCCGAGCCTATCTTACAATGGGTTGCAAAAGTATAATAATTAAAAGTAGTCTGAGACTGAAATAACAGCACTATTTGGCAAATCTCGCGGCTAAAAATTTGAGAACATCAAGAATATATCGTTTTAATTTTGGGGGGGTTTAGATTGACTTTGAATGACAAGATCTATAGTTAGAGAAACGCACGATAAATTTCCTCAGTACAAAGCTATCTTAATTTCTCAAGTTATAACGACGTTCATGAAGCTGAGATCTTGATTTAAAGGAGATTTTCTGACACCACTCGATCTTTGGTAAAAGCTGACATGTTCGAACTTCTTCACCAGTTAAAAAAGAAATTCGTTTGGATTAAAACGCTAAGATAGAATACGCGATAGAATAATATTTTTTCATCTCATTTTCTTAGAAAGGATATTTTTCATTTGAACTAAGTCAACATATCTCAATTTAATTTTATGAGTCTTCCTTTAGATAAATTAAATGAGCGGCATTATGAAGTTAAAGCCCTCCTGTGCTAACTGGTTGAATGATATCTTTAAGTCGAAAAGATTCCCAGATGAATTTTATTTCACGAGGAAAAAGAATCGATTCCACTTTTAGTATAGTAATTGTTTCTGTCACCTTGAAAACTTCGATCGCGGTAAACAAAGAAAACGTGCGCACGAACCTTGCATTAGAGTCAACACAAAAACGTATCACATAAACAAAATACCTTTTTCGAGCATATGAAATCGCTGTGGAGGTTGATTGTACTGGTCCTTTGTTCCACGGAGGATTCGCCATACTTTGTACTGCTTCATCCGATTTTAGCTCTCGTCAACACGAAAATACTCTCTACAACTGCCCTCTTTAGGACGAGATGAGTCATAAGCGAATTACTTCTTGTCAAAGCTAACTTTTTCACAAACACTGTAAATGACAACGGTAAATTACTACGTTGCGTCTTTTTGGCTATGTAAATGCGCAGGTGTTTCCAACACAGTGTTGGCCCTGGCACCTCCATAGCAACCAGGACGCTTTTTGATCGATAAGCAAACTCGAACGAAATATGAATTGAATAGGCGAGCATTATTGAAATGTTGCAATATTGTTGCGCAAATGGAAACAATGCCCATGTCAAAACTAAGTTGACAATCTTTGTGCAAATTCAATGCTTGTCGAGGTTTTAGCGATGAAAAAAAGTGCTAAAATATCCTTGTAGTTTCCTTCAAAATAGGTGATAACTTGTAGCTAAGATGTTTAAAATTAGAATTCCAAGAACAAATATTTAAATAAACAAACTCATTTCCCTATCTTTTTATCGCCAAATGGGTTTGTAATACTGTCACAATTTTTCTTTCTACATTTCATTTGACTTTTCGTCAGAGGTTTTTGAGATTAACAATTATTACTCAAACTTTTGAAGGGCTGGTGAGTGTTTTGAACACAAAAAGAAAAATTAATACCACATGAAATAACTTACATAATGACAAGAACTACTTGTCAGTCATGACATTCACTTGACAGCTTTATCGTCCAGTTTTCCATATTGCATGTTATTATGAGTTAGCATAAAGTTAATTTATGTATACCACTCAAGCTTAAAAACACTGCATACTTCTTGAGAAAAATTAAATCGCAATTTAGCGCTGGGAATTTCCTTGTTAATGAGGTTATTTCATCTAATTCTATTTCTCGTAATATTTTCTACTTGATGCTGAGTTGGCTCATCTCTTCGAATTATATTCATGTATATACAACAACAGGTATTTTAACCGACAGATTTAAACTTCATAAATGAGGAAGTTAGAATATCTCCCTGAAAAAAAATCCTCCCGCGAGACTATGTGAGAAAAACTGAGGAATTTTTCTTATACAGATAACCTTATTTTAACTTTTCAAAATTATTTTTCATAATTCCAAACGAGTGAAGTCGGCATTTTTAAGTTACGAACTTAACTTTTCGCACAAGTTGCTGCTGAGAAGGCAAATTGGTCGATCGGTATTTAAAGATTAAGACTGTTATCACAGGCATAAACATTATAGATTTTACTTAAGTCTTATTAACTGCGGAAACTAGGTATGATAATAAAATGATTCTCGCAGTTATGTTTCGTCACTCAAAGTATAGCTGCGAAAACGAACCTAAGAAAAATATTCATAATAACTTTTAATATTTTCTATTCGCAGCCGCTTTACGAGCTGCCAAACACTTGTCTGCCAAGATAATTTCATCTCCTCAAAAGTGTCTTAGCTGTGTAAAATAAAAGTTCTATTAAATATCGTCCAGTCTCACCTCACTGTAGAAGATGTATCGTTGTCTGAGACTGAGTTGTCTCGTGAGACCTGTTTCTTCTTGGCATATGGTTTTCTCTTAGCCTCGGCCATGTCATCCACACACAGCTATAAATCATCGCTCCACCAGTCTTTGTCTTGTGGGGCAAATTCATTAATAATTCAATAACGTCACAGTCTGTGACTTAAAGTGTGTGGATGTGTTTGTCTTACCTACAACGGTTATCAATTACTGCCCAGGCAGACCACGGTTAAAATCTGGGAAGATTTTTGTTCTTTATTGCATTGACAACTGGAAAGCGGACAAAAGGGAAGGTTTGTTTTTTTCTTACAATCAATAAAATTGCGAATTTGTACGTGTAAGTCGACTTATTGACATCAGCATGTTTGTAATTTGTTTGTAGTGAGGGTGAGGGAAAGTTTTGTGAGATTTGAAGATTGTCACTGCGAAGGTAAACTAGTTTAGAGTGGTACTTGGGAAAAAATTAAGGCTAGGGTTACACTTTTTCAATCGACAAGTATAGGAGAGTTTCTCAGCCCTTATGTTGCTTTTTTTTTTAAACTTCTAAGGGCCCTTGCCATTGGCCCTGAAAACCCTACAGGAAGAAAAGTCCGGGACTGCCCAAAACCGCTTTGATGTCAGTTTACACCACATACTAACTAATGAATAAAGTCGAGGCTGCATTTTTACACTCATTCCCAGCTCCCGTAAAAGCAAGCGGGCTCTTCCTTAAAGTTGTGCCCCCATGTCAGTACTTCCTCGCTGCTTTTTCGCACCCTTGATCTCGACAAACGCAAAAAAAACAGTAAGGAATACCGGTCTCTCCAGGTACATCCACAGATACTTACTAACTCTACATCGGACAATGGCATCGGCAAGTGGCGAAGGCGGAGATGGGAAACCCAAACATACAAACCGTTTGCAGCACTCTAAATCACCTTACCTACTGCAGCACAAGCACAACCCTGTTGACTGGTAAGTTTCTGATCAGAGATTCGTTCTTGAAAATCTGACGTTACCTTGATCATAAAAGTCTTTCATGCGTGTGGACAAACTAGACATTTCACTTTTGTACGTAATAATTGTATACATGTTTATATAAACAGGCGTTGTCTTTGACGGTTGAAAAGGGTGTTCGATTTCCATATAACATGAATGAACATACAAGCAACTCGTATGAAATGTTTTGTCTCCCGTTGCCTGACTTTTTTCATGGGAAAGTTATAAAAGATACTGTAAAAGTTCTTCTAAAGCCCCTGAAATTACACTCTTAAAGTGTTACGGTACTCAAACCCATTTGTATATGTGGTTTAGGATGGATGCTCAGAATCTGATAGCGATTTGTTAACAAATTTACAAACAGAGGGTGTAAGGGTGGTAACTAGGGCTTAGAAAATGACCAACAACGTGTCACTCTTGAAAGAAATTTCTTGGGTTGAACTTGGTGTTAGGAAAATTTTTATAAACTTACTATCATGTACAAAGTGGTCTTGAAGCTGTCCCTGCTGTATTTTTGGTTGCATAAAATGTAATGACCCTTCCCCCCCCCACATTTGCACCAGTCCTCCCCCTCTCTATCAAATGGAGGTTCCTATCAAATTTCATCACCAGGTTTCAAAATTAAAATTATCTATCAGGTTTCCCTGGGGAGATGAAGCATTTGACAAGGCAAAAAGTGAAAACAAACCTATTTTTCTGTCTGGTAAGTGAGACAGCATTGTAATTCATTGTACTTCAGATCAGATACCTTTTAAGAAACATTCACCAGACTGAAAACCTTTTCCACCACAACAGTTGAAGTATGTCCATTTTTTGATGAGTGACTTTTGAAAATTTTCTGGAAGAAGGAATGATTGTCATTGCTTAATTACCAGTAGATATAACATGTTGTGGAAAAACCATTTTAAGAGAGTTTGTCAGAAGCTGGATCATTGTTTTAGATGTCATACGTGTCAGAAAGGTGTATGATAATAATGAAACCAGTGGTAATAATTGTAACAATAAAAATACCAATGATATTAACTTTAATTTTTTTACTTCTAATACAGTTGGCTATTCCACCTGTCACTGGTGCCATGTGATGGAAAGAGAATCTTTTGAGAGTGAAGAGATCGCGCAGATCCTCAATGACAAATTTGTTTCAGTTAAAGTGGATCGTGAAGAAAGGCCTGATGTGGACAAAGTTTATATGACTTATATTCAGGTATAAATCAAGAACAGACTGCAAATTTTAATTATAATGGAAAAAGTTTGGCATATAAGTACTGATTACTGATTGGCTTCTCTTGATCGGTGCACCATCTAATTTTTACCTACATGCTGATGGTGTGTATTTCAATTGAACATCAGTGCTTAATGAAAATGCAGTCTATGTAGAATATATCAGATACTTAATCCTCTCTTTCCCTTGATCTGAAAGCTGATTCTCCCAACTGATGGTAGTATAAAGTGGGTAAGTTTCTAAAGAAACTGTGGTGCTGTGACGGTAGGAGAGTATAACAGGGTAATTTTGTGTTATCAATTGAGTCGAAAACATAAATTGGCCACTGTAAAGAGTTTAAAGGCTGACATTTAGAGTGCTAGCCCTTCTTCAAAGCAATTAGAGGAATTGTGGGTTGTTAGTGGGTTTATATGCTAATTGATATTAGTATAGTTCTTTCTTATTAAGTTCAGGCCAAGAATTTGATGTTCCATCTAAACAATATCCCTTTTAAAATTAATTGTTTTAATTCTCATTACTTATCTATTTAACTTTGTCTTAAAACAGTTTAGAGAATTTAAGGAATGATCACTCTTCTCTCTTCTTTACTTTGTTACAGGCTATGACTGGTGGTGGAGGCTGGCCAATGAGTGTTTGGCTAACTCCAGACTTGAAACCATTTGTGGGTGCAACATATTTTCCTCCTGAAGACCAGGTTGGCGGCCGCCCAGGATTTAGGACAATTCTTAACCACATTTCTAAGCAGGTTTGTTTTCAAAAACAGATAGTACTCCATCTAAGGTATGATTGGGCAAGACTGGGCATTTTTTTTAGCATATGAATTTGAGGCTAAATGGCAAGCTTCCCAAAAAGACTAAAAGTGAGAGAATTGAGAAAAATCTTATCTTCCTGACTTGCTTTTTTTAAGTCTGATTATACTACTGCTGAATATATTTGTAGTAAGCCTCCCAGAAAAAATTCAGCAAACAAATCATGACTTTCTGTTTTTGAGTCTCATGATACCACAGCTAAAAAAATTCCAGAAGGAACTTATCAAAAAGGGAAACCCAAACTGAACAAGCTCAAATTATAGACCTGTAAAGGGACTTTTTATTGTTTTGAGCTTCTTTTTTACCTAAAGTTTACTGATATGGCTTCATTCTTGGCTCAATTTTCTTGGCTTGTGTCTGATCAAGTTTAAGTTGTTAATGACAGGTAGGATTTTAATCCTTTCACCCCCAAGAGTGACTACTGTCTAATTTCTCCTTGCAATAACTCCCCCGAATCACACATGACAGTCATAAGAAGATAGGAAATGATCACCAACTAAAGAATCTCTTAATTGTTAAACAAATTCTCCTTGTCAGCACCTTAAGAACTGTATAATGAACAGTATGGAGAATATGCATACTGATGTTTGGATGTAAAAGGTTAATCCTTTCCTTCTTGGTTTCATTCCTTGTTACA